CTTTACGGGAGCAGAACGCCTCATCTTTCTCCCACGGAGCCGCTGGTAGTTTCGAACTGCTGGCCTTAAGGTTCGCAGCCCGATTTGTAACCACTACACTACCAGCAGGTGCTAAATAAATATGTGCTTCATGAATTAATAAGTTAGTGGATGTTCATATCACACCAAGCCCCAGGGTAATGTGTGTCTTCCTCTGGAAGTTGAAAGTCAATATCTTCCAATCACTATTTACCATAAGGTCAGCCTGGCCCTGACCAGAAGATCCTCAGGACACGAGGCAGACCTGGAGCCCACCGGGGGTCTGGCTCACTACCATCTGATACTCCGGCTAGTTGCTGTTGCCCAGGAAACTGGTGACTCATGGGTATTAGTGAGTGTCTGCTTCAAGAGTCTAGCACCCTCTACAGACTTGCGTGGACGGCCTGGGGACATGAGCTGAGAAGGAGTGTATTATATATCACCTTTGCAAACATTGTGGTCACAGTGAGCTTGCAGGTGCCAGCTTGAAGTCTCTGTGTTCTCTCACTGGTGACTCAGGTAAGCCAGGAGAGAGGAAGCTGGAGCAAGAGCCAAACATGTATCTTGAAGGCTTTTCCCCGGTACTGGGTGAGGCCCTGCAGTTGGGCTGTGAAGCTGCCTGGACCTGACTCACCCCCTTTGGGGAGAGAATCTGATTTACTGCAGGAATGTGTCAGAACACTGGAATCCCCAGCCTTCTAGCTGACTCCGTGTCCCTCCTCCTCAGCAGAGAATTTGGACCCAACAGCTGAATGAGTTGGCAGCACCTCAGCAGCAGAGGGCAGCAGAGCCGGCCCTATCTGCTCTGAAACCTCAGAAGGATTTGAAAACTGCTTCTGGGGAACGTTGGGGGTGAGTGGGCGAGGGATAAACCTGCAGAGCCTGAGCTCCAAATTAACCTTTGCATCTTGGGAGGGAGCAATACCGGGATACCTGGTTTGGTGGCTTCAATGATTAATTGTTGGTAAGTCTTTAAAGTCCCAGCGTGCATTCATACCAATAAACAGACTTCTGTTATGGGCTCACCGTAGTCAAGGGTGGGTAGTAGACATTGAATTATGTCCCCAAAACATATGTTTTGGAATCCTAATTCCTATACCTCTGAGAAACCATGGTGCCATGGTGGTTAAAGCACTCGGCTGCTAAGGTAAAGGTTGATGGTTCAAACCCACCAGCCACACCATGGAAGAGAGCTATGCCGATCTACATCCATAAAGACTGACATTATTGGAAACCCTGTAGGGCAGTTGTCCTGTCCTTTAGGGTCTCTCTGAGTAGACAGCAGTAGGTTTGTACCTGTGGATGTAATCCCATTTGCAAACAGGATTTTCTTTATGTCACAGAAGCATTATCAGTGTATGGTATGTCTTAAACCTGATGGCTTTTGAGATATAAAAAGAGCTAGACACAGAGAAGCAAATACAAATGGGGTGACTTCATGTGGAAACCACCAAGGAATTAAGGAACCAAAGCTGAAGATACAAGGACCTTCACCCTCAGGTGATCTCCCCCTCCCATGGCTCAATTTTCAACTGAGAGATAGATCGGGGACAACAACACGAGTGAGGTATGCACACCATAGAACAGTCAACCATTGGTGATCAAAAGGGCAGTATTTACCCCAGGGCAAAATTCAGAAGGTTGGGAAAGGAGGAGGATTGGAAATAAACACAGGCAGGAAGTGGGGTACACGATGTTACAGTGAGGAGATTGCAACCAATGAGATGAAATAAAATGTATTGTTTATTAACTATAAGCTGATGATCTCCCCAGTAAACCTTCACTCAATAAACAATAAAGAGTTTGAAAAAAGAAAAAGAGAGAGAAGGACCTTCTCCCAAAGCCTTCCCCTGAAACGGGTGCCCTAACTTCAGACTTTAGCCTCCTATATTGTGAGGAAATGCATTTCTGTGTATCAAAGCCACCACCTGTGGTATTTCTGATATTGCACCACTAGGAAATGAAGCAGGGATGTTGCTAGTCTACCTTGTACCCCACACTCCCTGGTCAGACCTGTGTGTCTGGGGACTGCAGGGATAAGAGCTCAGGTCTGTTTCCTCGGTGCCCTCTTGTCCACGTCTGCAAATATGTGGCCATTTCCCCTGGCTGGTTTTCCAGAGCTTTGCCATGGAATCCATGTCCCCTGCAGACTGGTGGAAAGTTTGGGCGGACCGCCCTCATTTGTCCTCAGGTCAGACACTGAGGCTCTGTGTGCACTCAGAGCTAAGGCTCATTCATGAGGAAATGGGGTAGGTGTCCATGCACCCAGGGGAATCCACACTTGTTTACCACAGAAGCACTTGGATTTTTGTGTAGGATCCCTGCTCCTCCGCCTAGCCGGGTTTTCTCCTTTCAGTCCTCTTGCTTGACTGATACCTTGGTAGCAGCAGGAGCCGAAAGTGCTGGTTGCAGTGTTTGGTGCTGGTGTTGGAGATGACATTGCTGGTGACTGTGACCTGTTCAGTATGACGGAGACACAGAAAGCGGAATGTGCACTAGCATCCAGTCTGCACCACCCTGCATCTCCAAGCTGAGCACATTGCGTCTCTTACGGTGTTTCCTCCGAGCCCAGCATGTTTGACAGCCACAGAGCTTGCTATTTGAGAAGAGTTTCAGAGGCCCCTCTTTAGAGCTTTGTCAGCTGCTTAGCTGTCAGCTCTATTCCATCTATCATTAAAGCTCAGGACTCCACATCCAAATAAGAGCTTAGAATTTTGCGCTGCCAAGACACCCTCCAGACCACATTGTTAGCTGTCTACTGGAAACAACTGCTCACCAGTGGGGGACAGTGAACATGAATAATGGTCTATCTGTACTGTTTAATATTATGCTGCTAGTAAGAAAGGGTTGTATAAAAATTAATATCATGAAGAGAGAGGAGTTTCTTTTTAAACCCAGGTTTCTAAACAGTGTAGTCTTGTTCAGTTAGAGAAAAGGCAGACAGGTATACCCAAAACTAGTAACAGAGGTATTGCTGGATGATGGAATTGTGTGTGATTTCTTTTTGTTCCCACTTGCTTACCTGTTTTTACTCCATTTTTTTTTTTTTCATTGGAAGGATGGATATTTATAATATAAGAAAGTTTACTTTGTCCGTTACTGCCTGTCATACTACTTCTGTGTGAAGCAATAAGATCTGAAGGAGGCCTGAATCCTCTCTACCTCAGGATCCTTCCGTTCACCCAGATGGCCCCTCTCAGACCCCTCAAATGTCCACAGAAGCCAAACAAACCTGCCATGCCGACTAACAGTGTCATGGTAGTCAGGCCCACTCGGGCAAGGCAGAGGCTTCTGGAGAAGGCCCTGCGAGTGGGGAAGTGGCCTTGAGAAGTTGGAGCATGTGTGGAGTCAGCCCCTGACTGATGCCAGCATGAGCTCACTTTCCATACAGCCTCACAACCTAGACCTGGTAATCACCACCACAGTGGGTGAGATTGACTCTCTAGGGGGAACCAAGGCATCCCACTTCCATGTGAGTGTTTTTCCAAGTCTCCTAAAGAGCCAATAAAATAAGCTGATGCATGTGGCCTTTAAAAAAAATCAGAGACCTGCCATACCTAGAATTCTCTGCACTTAGCAGGCAGAACTGCTATTGAAGAGACCTGTGAGGTCCCTCACATCCAGCCTGACTGAGTTCACAATTCAGGGCCACAGAGCTTTGTCTGTAGCCATGAGTGGGTGGTTTCTTCCCTCAGACAGTGAGGACTGTAACCCTGGGGTCCAGTTGAGGCACTCCACTGTTTACAGGTTTACAGGTGCTGCAGGGGTCTCCAGCTTTAGTTGTTTGGGAATAGCGATTCCCTTCCTGTCCCTTTTAATTACTTGGTTTTTCCCTTCTAATGATTTTTGTATATTTGTTAATATCCTTATTTCACTGTCAAGGTAAGGCAAATCCTTTTTTAAAGTAGAAGCTAACTAAGAGATTGGATTATCCTTCCTCCATTACAATATAAAAAGCCCCTTGAGAGCAGGGACTGTGGCTTTTGATATACATATTTATAGTCCAAGGCCACAAAGAGGGTCTAGCATCTGGTAAATGACCCTGGTGGATGAAAGCAGGGCTGACTGACAGGATGATGGGTGGATGAGTGAGGAAGTGAACCACGAGAAGCAGGATTGTTTCTCCAGGTGCTGTGGTGTCTTGCTGTTTGATACCACCTTGATCAGGCAGCTTTTGGGTCTCCCAGGGGCCTCTTCGAAGCCTTATATGCTGATGACAAGTAGAGCCAGGCCCTGCTTTGCCCTGCCGAGTGATACTTAGTCCCATTGGCTGATTTTATTCACCTTGGCTCCCCATCCCTACACCTTGGCCTGTTACCAATTCAATGTTTAATACTTGTCCATGTGTTTGAAATGACAACTGAATTCATTGGCTCCGCCTCAGTATCTTTTTGGTGTAACTTCCATGCGCCTGTCCAGTCTTTGCCTTTGTGGGGCTGTTCCTGTAGGGGTCCTGGGCTCAATCTTCAGAGATTCCTGATATTTCATCATAGAGCCAGTGATAAGGTACTCTGAACTATGTTTGTGTTTTTGTTTTTCAGCTAATCAAAAGCAGCACCCTTAAATCATTGTTTACCTAAGTACTGTCCTTCTGTCAGGGCAAGTCCCAGCTGTGCCAGCACAAAACAACACTAATCACAAGTCAGGAAACATCATACTGAGTCTTACTTTAAATGATAAAATGCTAATTCTCTAGAGCACTCAAAAAAAAGGCAGGGTGGAAGAGAGAGAGTGGTATCAGAGTCTCAGAAGATCACACATACAGCTCTGGCAGACACTGACTACTATAGAATAAATCATGGTGAGTCCCACGCCACTTGTCTCGTGCTCCAAAAGTCACTCTATTATTTTCCTGGAGTCATGGTGTGGTGCTGTAGGATAAGCACGAGACTGCTCACCACAAAGCCAGCAGTTTAAACCCACCAAGCACTCCTTGGAAACCCTGTACAGTATTGCTATGAGTCCGAATTGACTCCACTGCACTTAACAACATTACTTTCCTAGGGCAACCTTAGCAAAGAACAAGAACAGAAATTTGTCATGTCATAGTTCTGAAGGATGGGAGTCTGCGGGTACTGCGGATTCCAGCTGAAGGAGAATCTACTGTGTGCCTACTCCTAGCATCTGATGACAGCAGGGAATCCTTATGTTCTTGCTTGTAAATGAGTCTTTGCTTCCATCTTCACCTTTCCTCTGTGTGTCTGTCTCTCTGTCTTCTCCATATAATGGGTACCACTCAGATTCGAATCGGGCTGCTAACCTTAAGGTCAGCGGTTCGAAACTACCAGCCGCTCCGCGGAAGAAAGATAAGGCTTTCTACTCCTGTAAAGATTTACACCCTCGGAAACCCTGTACAGGGTCTCTATGGGTCGGAACCGACTCGACGGCACTTAACAACAACAACTCAGATTAGATTAGAACCCACTGTACTCCAAGATGACCTCATCTTAACTGAGAACATCTTCAAAGACCTGATTTTTGAACAAGGTTCATGTTCATGGGTACCTGGGTTAGGACTTTAACATATCTTCCTGTGGGGCACACTTTATTCCATAGCACTCTCCTATGATGAATCAGATGTGGGGACCCCACCAGAGAGAATCCATAACCCAGTGTGTGGTTTGTCTTCTTGCAGGAACAACTTGAGAACTATGACTTCACCAAATTCCACTCACTGAAGCCCAAGCTGATCGAGGCTGTGGACAATATGTTGAGCAACAAGATCTCATCCCTGATGAACCTCATCAGCCAGGAGGAGATAAGCATGCCCACACAGCTGGTGCAAGGTGGTGCCTTCGATGGCACAACAGAGGGCCCCTTCAACCAGGGCTACGGGGAGGGTGCCAAGGAAGGTGCTGATGAGGAGGAGTGGGTCGTGTCCAAGGACAAGCCTGTCTATGACGAGCTCTTCTACACGCTGTCACCTGTCAATGGCAAGATAACAGGCGTCAATGCCAAAAAGGAGATGGTGACCTCCAAGCTGCCCAACAGTGTCCTGGGCAAGATCTGGAAGCTGGCCGACTGTGACTGTGATGGCATGCTGGATGACGAGGAGTTTGCACTGGCCAAGCACCTCATTAAGATCAAGCTGGACGGCTACGAGCTGCCCAACAATCTGCCCCCTCACCTCATACCCCCCTCTCACAGGAAGTTCCTGCAGAAGGCCGACTGAAGGGTGGCCGACAAACGGGGTGGGCGGGGCGGCCTGGGAACCAGGGACCTGGACCTGAGGTCCACTCTATCATTAGCTAAGGACCCTGCCCAAAGCACTGCCCCTTCTGGCCTCAGCTTTCCCATCTGTAGAATGGAGAGGACAGGCACCGGACACAAGATGGTCTCTATGGTCCTTTCACCTCAAAAATGCCCTGAGTTTCTATTGCCATGTGGGGAGGGTAACAAGATTAAAGGTGGAGAAGAATGGGAAATTGTCCAAAGAGTGCTCAGAAACCTGGAGAGACAGCTGTGGAGTGGGGGCTGGCTTTGTGGAATCCCAGGCACCCCTGGAGCAGTTGAGTCTGAGGCCTGCCTGGGCAGTGCATCATCTTGAATAACTCTGTAGCACATGTCTGCCCTCAGAGGACACCAGGAAGGAAAAAAGATCTTATTTATTTTGTCTCCTTCAATTTTCAGAATAGAGATAATAGAACAGAAAGAGCATCTGCTATCTCCAAACTGCTTACCAAAGAGAAGACCCAAGTGTGACGGAGGAAGAGCTGTGTCTGTGTGCTCCATCCCACCTCCAGGCTCTAGCAGAGTACATCTGTCCCAGCACACCACACTGGCCCACCCTCCTGGGTCCCCTCCCGAGACCTTCCCTGGAAAGCTGTGTTTAGTTTAAGAATTTAGAATTCTCAAGCTTTATTAGCCCCTGGCAAGATTTCTAGTATGCATTCAATTCTAAAGATTAGCTTTTCATACCAGCCTGTCCTGCCATATGTGGTGGTGGTGTTCAGTGCTGTCGAATCAGTTCCAACTCATAGCAACCCTGCATAGGGTTTCCAAGGAGTGCCTGGTGGGCTTGAACTGACTCCGGTTCTAACCCACCTTGCAGTCCAGCACATTAGCCTGCAGTGTCACAGTAATATGTAGCACTATCTTATTTATCACTCTCTAACAATTCTGGGAAAAGGGGGTTCTGCTCAGTCATCAGGTAGGTGTCCCCAAGCCTCCTCTCACAGAAACCTTTCTTGGGGCCAGCAGTGTCCTTGGCACAGTGAGTGGGTTCAAGGGTGAATATGAGTCCAGTAGAAGAGATCAATCTACAGCCTCTATTTTTGTAGAAAATAGTTATTTTTATTATGCCCAGCTTTGTGTTTTCTTCCCCTTACAGAATAAAAGCCTTTATACCAAGGCAGTGTGGTCTGTTCACAGCTGCCCATCACCAGGCCGGTATCATGCACGTATCCTGACACCACGTGCTCTTTCCTCCGCCCCTTGTGTGCACCTGCGGGCTGCCCCGCACACTCTCACCACCCGCTCCCTGCTTCGTGGCTGCCTGTGTGGGTGGGGTGCAGGTGTGGTGCATCGTTATACAATAAGAGAGAAGATAGCAATGGCTGTGAAGCCGGCACGGGGAACGAATGAAATCAGAGCTGTCCCATGTGCCCCTTCCAAAAACCACAGGCTTGCTTTTTTTTTTTTTCTTCTTCTTTTTCTGTCACCTGCCTACGGTGACATTCAGGTCAGAGCTGCAGACTGAAGATAAAGTAATTATTTGGGGGAATGTATGCAGGTCCCCACTCTCCCACTCCCCTGTTTACTTTATGAATAGTTTTAAGAGAATGAAATGTGCTTTTTTTCATCTTAATGATTACTTTTAAATTAATGAGACATCTAGAAAAGACCCAGTTCTTCCAAGTCCAGTACTGTAAGGTGAGCAGACAGCTCCATGAATGCATAAGGGCAGCCCCAAAGGTGTCAGCACCAAAAGGCCAACAAGACAGAAGAAAAAGGAAATCATTTGTCCAAGGTTTAGTTGCCCATGTTGGCTGATTTTCCATTCAGAATTATTTTACTTTACTTTACTGTTGTTCAATTGTCATATATAACCATATATGTCACATGAATATATATTTTTTAATTTCTCATGTATGTGTATGTATGCATGCATGGCCAAGTTTCATTTATGTAGGGCCATACAGGAAAAGTTTTTCAAAGGGGACACAAGCTTAGGTTTGTGGCTTCTGCATGCAAGGAAATTTTTCAGGCATATTGGTCTCACCTTCCCTGCTCCCTTTACCCTTAGCTGAGGGATCCAGACAGCCCTTTCCCTTCAGGGATCTGGTCTTGCAAAACAAATCGAAGTCATTTGTCCATTTTTCTTAATATCCTCCTAGAACTTGAATTCACTCATCATGGAAAGTTGATTGAAAAGGAAAATAATAGGAAACTAGGGATAGTGACCAAGCGAGGACTCAGGGTTCCCAGTTCAGACAGATTTCCCCAAGTGTCCCATTCACCTGTGAAGCCCAACTCGCTCGCAGGATGCAGAGCAACACTCCAGGATCTGCTTGCCTTGACTATACAAGGGAGCTGCAAAAAGTTCACAGGAAAACTCCATTATCTTTTCATTACGTTTTTCCATGAACTCTTTTTGAAGCCCACTCATATTGCCCTTCCAATAGCACCAGCCCGGTTTTCAGTGCCCCTTCCAGAGTGTTTACGGAGGGGAGGAGGGCAAAAGTAGGTAAACCTAGAACTGTAAATCTATCTTAATGCTCACCATGATTCCAGAGCAGGAAGTCTTAAGAAACTTGAAGCCCTATTTTCTAAATAACACAAACCCCTGTAGTCTTGTGTTTGGGGGTGTAGGGGATGAAAACTTTAGCCTACTCCTCCTGAAGTCAACTTTTAAATTCTAAGCCTGCTAATGAGGCCCTCCTGAACCTGTTTGTTAAAGCAACATGGCAGTGAAGAGACTTGTAGAAACTCCCCATGGTGACATGCAGATAAGATGTTCAACCTGCTTCCACCTGGCCCAGCTCAGTATCACCTGTCAGTTCTTGTCTCTCAAGACTCCACTCAGCACGCCCCCTGGATGACCCTGGAGGGTCACTCTTCACGGGGGAAGGTTGTTCATCTAGTTTTCATTTTTTCTCGAGCTGGAGTGGGTTCCCTATTGAACACTCAGCATGCAGCAAAGCATCTGTGAAGTTGGGACTGTGGTTCCTCATAAGCTCATGGACTTTCAGTTGCTGAGCCTCTTGTATATCACAGAATTCCTCCTGCTCTCCCAGCCCTCCTGTCCCACACCCCAGGCCCCTGATCACTGTCAGTTCTGCTAGGTCTCCTACGGGAGCTCCTTTAATTCCACCAGGAATGAACCTGAGTGGGTACTGCCTGCACCTTTTCTACTTTGTACTGTAACACTTTCCTTCTGCCCAAAGGCAGATATAGAACAAATTTCTTTGAAGATAAGAAAAGCATTTTACTGTTTATTGCCTCCATGGATGTGGTAGAGGACTAACATTTTTAGGACAGATAACAGGTAAATGGGAGTTGAAAAGAGTGTATCAGCTTCCTTGTTACTTAACCAATGCAGTTAATACACTATGCTTTCATTTTAATTTTTTTGTAATCTTGTTCAGAAATGTCAAATGAACACAAAAATGACATAGTCTACTGACCAATAAACTTCTGAAAAAGAACTTTTCTCCCACTGATTCTGGTTTTCAGGATAACGTGGACCAGCTTTTTGAAAAGTAAGACATGAATCCACTTTGAAATCATCCTGAAGGGGAGGGTGTCCCTCTTCTCCACGCCTTCCCTGTGACATCAGACTACCTGCGTCCTCTCTGGGGCGGCGGGGAGTCTGCCCATAAAGGAAGGTAGTTCTATCCTGAGGGAAAGTTCTAGCCCAACTAGGAGTGATGGGTAGCCAAGCCTGGGGGGAGTTAGGAAGGCAGAGGCTTTTGAGCCCGAGGACAGAAGCTGTCATTAATAGCAGACTGTCAGTCCCTGAGCACTCTGAAGACTTCTTCAGCAAGAAGACAGGACAGGAAGTGAAGTGATCCTGGGCAACTTGCCATACCTCATGGGTGAACTGCCCACTATGGACATCTAGGACTTACATCACAGGCACCCACTGACCCTGTTGGTGATGTTGACCTGAAATCTCCTTGGCAGAGCACTCGCCCTCCCTCCTCAGTCTGAGTCACAAAGTTTGCATCCTGATCAGGTTGAGCCAATTGGATATTTCACCCCACTGGTCACAGAAGTTGATTCAAGATTTGGCAATTGGCCTGATTCAAGTCTACAAGAGCCAGGCCCCCAGAGTTGCTCCAACTATTAGGGAAGATTTTCTCTCTTTGAACTATGCAGTAAGAAGAAGGAAGACTTTAGTGAAACCGAATAAATGATATTGAGACGACCAAAGGACCAGGCAGCATAGGAAAAGACAATCATCCCCAGGGTATGGAGATGGGGACAGGGGCCTTCCTAGAATGCACGATGGTAACCAGGGCTGAGAAGATAGCTAGAAAGTGGACAGTGAGGAACAGAAAAGGATATTCTAAGCTGAGAGAGTAACAAAAGTCCAGACATGAGGCAGGAAGGTTCTGGTCCTGACCAGGAAAGAGAGAAAATGGAGCAGCCTGGGGTGAGTGAAAGAAAGAAGTCTGCTGGGGACACTGAAGGCTTCCAGCCAGACTGATAACCAGGTTTCTACAGCAGGCAGTGGGGAGTCTTCATGGGTGTGACCAGAGTTGTGCTTGGGGAGTGTAAATCGGGTGGCCATGTATAAGTTGACATGAAGACAGGGTGACAATGGTTATGGGACCCTGCTGGGCAGTCTGGGTGAGAGTATTATGGATTGACACATCCCTCAAAAATATGTGTCAGCTTGGCTAGACCATGATTCTCAGTATTGTCATTAACATTTTGTGACCTGATGTAATTATTCTATGTGAGGCAGAATTAATGGCAATTATGTTAATAAGGCAGAATTAGATTGCATCTTGAGTCAGTCTCTCTTGAGATATAAAAGAGAATAAACCAGCAAGTAGATCAGAGGAACCTCAGTACCATCAAGAAAGAAGAGCTGGGAGCAGAGCACATCCTTTGGATCCAGGGGAAGATTGATGCCAAAACACATGAAGATCTCCAAGTGATGTTGAAAGGAAATAAGGACCTTCCCTCAGCCGACAGAGAAAGTCTTCCTTAGAACAGGTGCCCTGAGTTTGAACGTCTAGCCTCCTAAACTGTGAGAGAATAAATTACTGTTTGTTAAAACCATCCATCTGTGGTATTTCTGCTTCAGTGGTGCTTGTGTGCCACCAAGTCAATTCAACTCATAGCGACCCTGTAGAGGGTTTCTGAGGCAGTAAATCTATGGGAGCAGAAAGCCTCATCTGATAGATTCGAACTAGTGATCTTACATTTAGCAGCCCAGCTCATAATCCACTATGCTACCAGAATTCCTTTTTAGTTATTGCAGCACCAAATAAGTCAGAGTGACCGAGGAATGCTGGGCAGCACAGCCAGCAGCAGTCTCTGGTGACTGACGAGACCTGGGGCTGATAGTGGCAGGAGGGATGTTGTAGGAGGCAGAGAACAGAGAAGTTCCTTTCAGACTCAAGAGTGTGTCTCACCCCAAAAGCACCAGGCTTCTCAATATCCCCTCACCCTGACCACCAGTCAGGGGTTTAGGTGTGACTCATCTCTGCCCAACCCTCCAGGGAAGTCTATGCAGCTACTCTTATCACCGGCCTTGGCTGTCCAGGTGCCCCCTGAGAAGACATCTGCTTGCAGTCTACATTGCTGGACAGATGCAACCACAGGTTCATCCTCTGGTCCAGGTTCAGCCCGACAGTTCCACGAGACTCCCATTCAGGACACACTTTCCCTCCACCAGTCATGCCCAAGGCAGCTAAGGAAAAGTGAGGTATCCCGGGCTCCCTCTGCAGCCCTGCTTTAGTGTGCCTTCCATGGGGCTCAAAATAGTTCACACTGTCTCTGGTCTTAGAGGAAACTGTCATTTCCATATCCTATACAACTCTGGGTCACCCCTTCCCAGGGAAAGCCCCTCTCAGAATCTAGCTCCCCAGGTTTAAGGGAATATGCTGCCCTCTGCTCTGGGTTAAATGGGTGCTCATTTCTGTCAGGGCCTGCAGAGCCTGACCTGGCCTAGCTCTGGACCCATATTTGCCCTCTGCCTGCCATGGTATCCCTGGATATGGTGAAAGGACAATGGCCCGGCATGCTCCCCCATCCCCTGCTGCTGTGGATACCCACAGAGACCACCAGGTGCTGAAAGCCAATCCCAGGTTGGAAAGTGGGCCTAGAGGCTCAGTCAGCCTGCCTTTCACCCAGACTGCAGTAAGCCCATGTGACCCCACCTAAGGTAACAGGATTGGGACTTTCATGAACCCACATGTGACCATCCCATGGGCCGCTGTGTCCTGCAAGTCAGGAACCCCACCTAGAGGCAAGGTGGGGGGATGATGAAAAAGATGCTCTAGCAATGGGCCTAGAACATTTTTCAGCCACCCCCTCCCAGTCTGTTCCACGCCCTGTGGCAGGTGGGAGGACAATGCCAGCTCTGTGCAGCTTCCAGACATGTTGGCTCAAGGGGAGGGCCCTGATGTGACCCCAGCTCCAGCCCAGCCTCTCCTAATGCGGCTGTTTTTCCCTCATAGCCCCTGTGATCTGCCATCTCCATCTATTCTCCTCCCCAGACTCCAGATATCACTAAGGTGAGCGGGTCCTGGTTTACCTTCCCTCTGCCCTAATCAAAAGAGCTCTGGAGGCATTGTGGGTTGGGCGTTGGGATACTAATCGCAGGTCGGCGGTTCAAACCCATTAGCCACTTAGTGGAAGAAAGATGAGACTGTCTACCCCTGTAAAGATTTGGTCTTGGAACCTCTATGGGGCTATTCTCCTCTGTCCCATTGGGTCTCTACGAGTTGGACACAAGTCCACAACAGTGGGTTTGGGGATGGAAAGGGGGTATTCAACCCCAGGAGCAGCCGTCCATCACTGCAGCCCAAGGACGATCTCTAGCAGCAGGTGTTCTGAGAAGAACCCCCTAGAAGGTAGGGGGGACAACGGGGCCCTGGGACATTTAAGGGCAAGGCACCAACCTGAACACAAGCCCCACCAAGTCCCCCATACTCTCCCAACAAGTCGTCAGCATCTACTCCTCCTCCACCCTCCAGCCCCACATCACCTCCAGGCTTAGGGAAATGCCCAATGGACTGGTCACCCCCAGTCCCCCGCAACTCCTCAGGGCTCCAGAGCCCCTGCAACAGGAAGCCACAGAATGGTTCTCTCAACCCAGGTCCCAGAATGGACTCTGAGTATGAGATGGGCCACATTCGCAAGCTGCAGGCCCAGCACACACGGATGCAGGAAAAGACTTTTACCAATTGGATCAACAACATCTTTCAGCACGGCCGTGTGAGTAGAGCCAGCTGCCCCCACAGCCTGCCTGGGCCATTGTCCTAGCTCCCTGGTGACTTGCCCCTGGGGTGGACTGTGAGGGCATTTGGCTACGGTGCATTTCTTGACTCCCTAGCAGAGCTGAGGCCTATGCTCCTTCCTCTGAGCTATGCGTCCCAGGTCCTAAGATAGGGAAGACAGGGCGGCTGGGCAGTTGCCACACTTTCCCCCATCCCCTTTCCAGGTGGGCATCAAGATCCAGAACATTTTCACAGAGCTGAGTGATGGTACCCACCTACTGCGGCTGCTGGAGCTCATCTCAGGGGAGGCTTTGCCACCTCCCAGCAGGGGGCGCCTGCGAGTGCACTTCCTAGAGAACAACAGCCGAGTGCTGGCCTTCCTCAGGAGCAAGGTGGGCATGCGTGGAGGGTCTGGGCTGGGACTGAATACCGGAGGAGCAGGTAGGATCTAGAAGAGCAGGAGACCAAGCCCCTCCTCACACAAGACTGGCAGAAGCAGCAATCATAATCCCTTTTGGGATAAAAATATGGTTTTGTCTATAATAAGAGAGAATTGCAAGATTTTAAAGCTTAAAGAATTTTAGTATTAACTTTCTCATTTCATAAGTGTGAAAACAGAGACCCAGGATTATTGATCAGACAAGAACCATGGTCAACCAACCAGCAGAGCCCTCTTGTGGAGCTATGGGAGACAGGCTGAGGCCAGAAGCAAGAGGAGGAGCCCCAGCCCCTGGGCCACTGGGCCCAGCAGTAGAAGGAAGGGTCTTGGAAAAGTTAGACCAGAGAGCAGAGGGGTAGCCAAAGTCACCTGAAAGAAAGGGACAGAGGTAGTGGCTAAAAGGAGGCAGGGGCTCTAGGGACATGGAGGGGCCGTATCTTGGTTTCTTACTGCTGCTATAACAGAAATGTCACAAGTAGGAGGCTTTAATGAACAGACATTTATTGTCTTCATTTCAGATGCTAGAAATCTAAATTTCAGAATCCTAAGAGAAGGTTTACTCGCTCTCTTGTCTCTTGGGGGGCGGGGTCCTTGTTTCTTTTGCTTTAGTTCCTCGGTTCCTTGGAGATCTTCATGTGGTGGGTCATCTTGCTTACCTGCTTCTGTGCCTAATCTGTTCCTTGTATATCTCTAAAGTGATTGGGCTAAAATGTATCCTATACAGATCATTAACATAGTAAAAAAAAAAAAAAAACCTATTCCCAAATGGGATGTTGTGTGCTCTCAAGTCCATTCTGACTCATACCTATCCAACAGGACAAAGTAGAACTAGACCCGTAAGGTTCCCAAGGCTGTAATCTTTATGGGTGCTGGTGTGGTGTTGTAAGATAAGCACTCGACCTCACGGATGGTTTGAACCACAAGGTCGGCTGTTCAGACTCACCAGCAGCTCCTCAGAAACCCTTTACAGGGTCACTATGAGTCAGAATCAATTCAACGGCAGTTAACAACAACCACCACAGGGGAAAAGTAGGACAGCTACTGTTGCATGGAGGGGATTACAATTACTGAAATGAAATGGAGCATATGATTTGTTGGGTATGCGACTGATGATCTTGTCTGTTAATCTTCACTTCATTCACAATACAAAATTTAAATCCTGTGAGCACAGTTCTACTCTGTAGACACACATGGGGTTCTCTTGAGTCTTAGACTCTGTGGCAACTGTTTTGCTTATATATATATATATCCACCATGGCCATGACCAAGTTCAAGCTCCCAGTACAAAATACACACAGTTAACTCTTGTGAGCTGGTATGAGGTAACTTCAACACTTCACTGACCAGATCATCCAACTTCAAGCTGAGGTGAACACAGAGGGTTCATATGTGCCAGAGAGAATATGGAAGACCATGTGGTGGAATCATTTAGAGACCAGTCAGGATGCACAAAATACACCCAAGAAGAATATCAGGGACACAGTTCCCGCCATGCAACCGGTGAGGGGCCGAAGATCTTCGTTCAATGAATATCAATCAATTACCCACTATGTGCCAGACACTACTGGGGGTGTGGGTAATGCTTGGAATACATCAGGGAGTAAATCCATAATTTCTGCTAGCATGGGGTTACATTCTAACAGTTAATAAATAATAAGTAAGTATATTATGGACACCTGGTGTGGTGCTGTAGGATCAGCACTGGGCATTGAACCACAAGGTCCACAGTTCAAACCCACCTGTTGTTCCTCAGAAACCCTATACAGGGTCGCTATGAGTCAAAACCCACTTGACCAGTCAGTCAACCACACTTAATAACAACAAGTAGATTATTATATAATATATTAGTAATGCACGATGTAGGAAAAAATAAAAACTGAGCAGGGAAAAAAGATCAGGCATGTGTGTTTGTGTGGGAACAATCATCCTCGGGTTTCGATTTAAATAAGGTGGTTAGGGTAGAGGTTTCATTGAGAAAGCAGCATTTGAGTAAAAACTTAAAGGCAGAGACGAAGACAGCCATTTGGATATCTAGGGGACATTCTTTTCAGCTAGCAGGAGCAGCCAGTGCAAAGACCATATGACGAGTGTGCTTACAGTCTCAAGGAACTGAAGAGTCCTCTGAGCCTTGAAGCCATGCAATTCAGGAGAGTGAAAATAAGCCAGGGTGAGGGGGACCAGATCCTGTGGGGCTTTGCAGGCCTTTGTAAGGACACTGGGATTTATTATTCTGTCTCCTCTGCATTCATCCATCCTCGTGTGAAGTGGCAAAATCCAGGGCAGCAGGTTCTCAGCTTCAGTGTATGTAAGAACTGCCAAGGTGTTTGCTAAAATGCAAATTCCTGATTGGATGGGTTTGGGCATCTGACATCCATAGATAGAGGTGGGGCCTCATGATGAAGAGTGCCAAAGTCCGAGTGTGGACCTCTCAGCTGCCTGTCATCCAGACCACCCACCCAACCTCTGGAGGTCCCCAGCTGCCCTGGGAGGTGGAGGTGGACAGTGGCGTGTTTGGTTCACTCATTGTTATGACCCTCATCCTTTCCCCCCCCCCACACACACACATACACACCTGGAGTTACTTGTAGCCCACCCAACTCCAGTGATCCAGCCTAGCTACAGCTTCACCATGTATATGTTTGGGACCAAAGCCCCAGCCACTCAGAGAACAATCATTTACCTGCCCTTGGTCCCTTGCCTGCATCTCCCTTGGGGTCCTCCTAGCTGGGGCAGCATGGATTCCAGAAGCCTCCATCCAGCAGCTGACCCCTAAAGTCCTCTCTGACACACAGGCTCCATGGCTGAGCCCAACCAACTGTACCCACAGGTGCCAATACCCTTGATTGGGCCAGAGAACATTGTGGACGGAGACCAGACACTCATCCTGGGGCTCATCTGGGTCATCATTCTGCGTTTCCAGATTTCCTGCATCTCCCTGGACAGGGTATGTCTCAACCCCAGCCCTGGCGTCACATCAGGACCCTGGAGGCAAAGTAGTTCCATCTAATTTCTATGATCCCCACAAAAGATCCATGTTGCCCACAAAATTAATATTCACTCTTCAAGCTCTGGTAAAGAATTCAGAATGTCAGCGATACTGTAACGTGCTGACGTGAGAACAAGAGCCACGAGAATCAAGTCACTCACTAGTGGGGGACTGAAATAACGGACAGCCCCACATTTTACTATCAAGAGAGGCAGAGAGAGGACAGGAGAGTGGGGGCCTGGTGGGTAAGGCGGCAAGGGAGACAGCAGAGAGAAGGAGGAAAAGGTATCACCAACCATTCATACTTAGCCTTGAAACCCCGCACCTTTCCTTACTCCATGATGTGCTGTTGGGGAAATCAAGTGTTCTAGAGGCCTCCCAGCCCTGAAGGTTTACTAAGGCCTCAGTATCCCATCACAATTTTTGTGGTTCTCCATCTTTCTCCATTCTAACTCTCCCATCCCCAGTTACTATAGAAAGAGATACAAATATAAAGTCCTTTTTATTATCAATTTTTATTTTTTCACACTTTCCAAAACACTACCTAAAAATGATTCCAGCAGGTTAAGAGCGCCAACCTGGAGTAAACGAAACTCCGCTGAAAAGAAGCCATAAATGTAGCTCAAATCCAAGAGACCCCTTAAAACTCAGGCTATGACTTTGAGCCCCCCAAAGGAGGGGCCTTATCTGTCTGTGTCCCCCGAATCTAGTGCACAGTGTTATTGTTGTCAAGTGCCATTGAGTCGGTTCCGAATGACCCTGTATAGGGTTTCCAAGGAGTGGCTGGTGGGTTTGAACCATCAACCTTGCAGTTAGCAGTCCAGTACTTATCCTACAGTGCCACACCAGACTCCATAGTTGATGGATTAATGGCTGGATGAGTCTCTAACTGACCTAAGGCTCTTTTAGGAAGCTAGATTCCCCAGACCACTAAACCAGTTTCAGGTGCCCCTGTAGCCCTTTCCTTTGAGAGCAACAAGTCATCATCGTCCTCTGACAAGCCTGACCACTGTCCCTCCTGCTTGGTCCACGTATGCACAGCCCCTTCAGGCCCGCTCCCTACATAACTCAGAGGTACACCAGATCAGACTGCGCTTGTACTCTCACGGGTGCATCCAACTCTCTCCCAGGTTCACATCTACCTAGGCACATGAACATTCTCACAACAGACTCAGGTTTTCCACCACATCTCATCTATCCTTGCCCCTGGGTTAATAAGCCTGACTCCAGGACTTTGGGGCCCATCTCTGCCTGTCTGTGCGGTGTCCATCCTACCCAAGCTCCCGTGCCCAAGGGGCAAATGTTTTTGAACTCTTGTTTTGAGTTCAAAAACAAGATTGGTTGGGATGAGAAGTGTACAGAAAAAATCAGGAAAGGAGGAGACAGTGGGAGTGAGAGAGGAGAAAGGAGAAGAGGGGCCCTAAGGTGTTAGGAAGCAAAGGCATGGTGGCTAGCGAGAAGGTACCCCTGAAGGAGGGCAAGGGACCTGGGGGCTAGCATAGGGGATGCGGAGCAAAGAATAGGAGATGGAAGAAGAGGAGGGAAAGAGTGGAAAGGAGAGGTGAGGGAAGGGCAGATGGAAGGTAAAAGTGGCAGAAAACCTGAGAAACACACTGAGGTCAGGGAGGGGGAGTGGAACCAGATGTAGATGAGTCACATCCCAGTCAGAGGAGTGTGATGGACAGGTGGGCTCTCGAAGACATTCCTGGATCTAATCCAACCACTCCCTACATAGATGGGGAACGCGGACAGCTTTCTAATCTCTCTGGTTCCGACTCATAGTGACTCTGTATAGGGTTGCCAAGGAGCGGCTGGGAGGTTTGAACTGACAACCTTGTGGCTAGCAGTCCAGTGCTCATCCTACTGAACCTCATTTTGTCATCTGTGGGATGTAAATAATAATAGTGCTGACTTCCTAGACTATAAGGGGTTGAGAGCAAGGTGCCTTGGGCTCAGGACCTGGCTTACAAGTGACGGTGAATTCGCTTAGTGAAGCCAACCTTGATTCTGGAGGCCCAAGGTTGTTTAGCAGATGCCGATCCCAAGAAGGGCTCACCAAATGGCGACTGTGGTTGCAGTCACTGGTTGTGACTGCAAAGCCAGGTGCTCTGAAGTGATGGCTTTGAGCTGGCCCACTTTGGAAGTACAATCTTTCTCTCATCCTCAATCCCCGCCCCACCAAGAAAGAAATGTCAGAATCAGGTGTTCTGAAGAGAAGTAAGTCAGCATGTGACTCCTAGATGGGAGAGATCAGGCCCTGCATCTCCCACAGCCTGCAGGCTCTCCTGCCTCCCAACCCCTGTTCAGCATGGGGACCCCGCCCCCCTGTCCTACAGGAGGAGTTTGGGGCCAGTGCAGCCCTGCTGTCCACCAAGGAAGCTCTGCTGATCTGGTGTCAGAGGAAGACGGCCAGCTACACCAACGTGAACATCACCGACTTTTCCCACAGCTGGAGAGACGGGCTCGGCTTCAGTGCCCTCATTCATACCCACAGGTGTGTGTGTGTGTGTGTGTGTGTGTGTGTGAGCATGCATGTGTTGTGTGCATGGAACCAGCACCCTCCTAGTCCTGACCTGGCCTGAGGTAGGCTTCAGCCTCCACCAACTGAACCAGTTGCTCCAGGACTTGGGTCTTTGGGGGTCTGTGTCCTCAGCCTACTTATTCTCCCACATGCTCTCTGACCCCTGGATCCTGCATGAATGAAGGTCAAAGTGAAACACAGAATTAGAGAGGGTTGGAATCCCACCGTGCCCCCAAAGCCTGTTGGCAAAGTCTGCAATCCATTAGCCTGTCCCCATATTCTGTGCTCCTCAATTCTATTCACAGGCTTCTATCCACAAGTGTCTTGGGTTTTGGAGAGTCTCCCCACTGTCCACAGGCTCTGGCCTCTGAGCCAAATTAATACTATGCCCCCCACCCCCACCTCAACCTCTCCAGCAGAACCCTATCACTGTTCTCAGATAACTGTCAAGCAAGCCTGAGGTGTGAATGACCAGTTGGAGGGTGCTTGCATTTTTAAAGCAATAAATTACAACCTGAGGTTTGTGAAAGCTGAGAATGCATGTGTGACTCGTGAAGGACATTTCCATTCTCTGCCCAGGCCAGACCTGATAGACTACAGCTCCCTGCGCCTGGAGCACCCACTGCACAACCTCCACCTTGCTTTCCACGTGGCAGAGCAGGAGCTGGGCATTGCTCCACTGCTGGACCCTGAGGACGTGGTGGCCATGCAGCCGGATGAGCGTTCCATCATGACCTACATCTCCCTCTACTATAACCACTTCTCCCGCCTGCACCAGGGACAGACTGTTCAGAGGAGACTAGCCAAGGTTGGTGGTAAAGGGAAGGCAGGACCCAGGGAGCCGTGGTAAAATGGAGATGATAATATCTGGTTAATAGAAGGTCATCGTGAATGTTCAGGAGCCCCTGGGTGGAACAGTTAAACTCTCAGCTGCTAACCAAAAGGTTGGCAATTTAATTTCACCCCGAGGTACCTCAGAAGAAAGGTCTGTCGCACTACTTCCAAAAAACTCTTTGGAGCACAGTTCTACCCAGACACACACGGGGTCGCCATGAGTCAGAAGTCAACTCAACAGCAAGTGGTTTGGTTTGTTGTGTTTTCAAGGGAGTGTAAGTAAGGAGCTCAGCAAGGTAACTGGTCCACAAGGAAAGCCAGTGCCTCTCCTGAGAGGGGCTCAGGCTGTTAAACTCCGTAATGGTATTAAAAGGCTACAGAAGACCTGGGATTTACACAGTCTGCAAGAACAGGAGCGAAGAGGCCCTCTGATGCATGTTTTTTGAGGGGAGGGTGCTTTCTTACTCTCTGGATTCCATGGCAGAGGTTGAGGCCTGGGAGGGCTGTTCTCAGGGTAGGTGTCTCAGCTGGGGACAGAGAGGTGTAACAGGAGGCTGAGGTGCTTTGGAGTCTGTGGGTGGGCTCTGGGGAAGGGAAAGGAGCCCCTCTTGGGAAACTCTGGCTGGCACTCAGCATCCAAAAGGGCAGTGCCTCCATTCCCAGGCTTGAGCCAGTCACCACTCTGACCCCTCCCCAGCTCCTGCTTCAGCTCCAGAAGACAGAGGAGCTGCGGACCCGGTACCAGCAGCTGGTAGCCGACCTGCTGCACTGGATTGCAGAGAAGCAGGCACAGTTAGAGGCACGGGATTTCCCAGACTCACTGCCTGCCATGAGTCAGCTCCTAGTGGCCTTTGCCTCCTTCCGCACCCAGGAAAAACCACCACGGCTACAGCAGCGAGGAGCCACTGAGGTCCTGCTCTTCCAGCTGCAAACAGGGCTCCGAGCCCAGAAGTGCAGGCCCTTCCTGCCTTGTGAGGAACTGAGCCCTGCAGAGCTGTCCCAGCGCTGGGCAGGTTTGGAACGGGCAGAGGCTGCACGAAGCCAAGCCTTACAGCAACAGCTGCTGCACCTGGAGCGGCTGGAGACATTGGCCAGGCGCTTCCAGCGAAAGGTGGCTCTCCGGGAGAGCTTCCTGGTGGACACAGAACACATACTCAGTCAGGTGGGAGTCCCACTGGCCAGCCCAGCCATGGTAGAGGCAGCTGCTCAGAGGCTGAGTATGCTTGAGGCTAGCATCCTGCCCCAGGAGGGGCGCTTCCAAGCCCTAGCTGAGATGGCAGACATCCTCCGGCAGGAGAGGTATCACAGCTGGGCAGAAGTGGCCTGCAGGTGAGCCTGAGCATATGAACTGTCCTCACAACAGGACAAGGTTTCCCTACAACATTCCCACTCCTGGTCACCAAAGAAAGGGGAAATTCAATGGATTCAGGGTTCCCTTTAAAAAGATCTTTTTCCTACGTAAGCCTGAAATTCTATCATATATAATTCATCCCTTTTGATAAAGCATTGTCCTTTCCAGAAAGCCTCTTGTGAATTTGTTCAGTGAACAAATATTTACTGAGTGTCTACTATGCTCCAAAGGAGTCCCTGCATGATACAAGTAGTTAAGTGTTGGCTATTAACCAAAAGGCTGGCAGTTCGAATCCACTCAGAAGTACTTAGGAAGAGGGTGATCTACTTCTAGAAGATTGTGGCTATTGGAAACTCTATGGAAGGCAGTTCTACTCTGCAATACATGGGGTCATAAGTTAAAATTGACACTATGGCACCTGGTGTGTTTGCTTGCTTGTTTCCACTATGTCCTAAGCTCTGTTCTAGGTTTTGGGGATTTAGCATGAACAGGATATCCTAAACCAAAAGTCCTGCTTTTATGGAGCCTACACGTTCCTAAGGAAAATAGACAAATAAGAAAAATTGTCTAGTATGTGAAATGTTAAGTGCTATCAAGTTGGTTCAGACTCATAGTGATCCTGTATGGGGTTTCAGAGGCTGTAAATTTTTGCAGGAGTAAAAAGTTTCATCTTTCTCCATCAGAGTAGCTGGTGGGTTCAAATCGCCAACCTTGTGGTTCACAGCACAGTGCTTATCCTACAGAGCCGTTGTATTCTCAGTTTGTGAAATAGTGATTAAAAAATGAATAAAGCAAGATAGGGAAATGTGAAGTGTTAAGAAGGGGGCTAGAGGGGATAAAACTTGAGACTGAAGGTGGCAACAGGGGAGGCTTTACTAGGAAGTGGACTTTTGAGCAAATACCAAGAAGTTGGCAGCAGACATGTTGGAAAGATAGCATGGAGGCCAGGGAGGTGTGGGGTGAGGATGGAGGCAGACAGTGAAGACAGGTTTTACCCAGAGAAAGATGGGAAATCATTGGAGGGTTTGAGAGAGGAGTGACATGACCTGTTTTGTTTTAAACTGATCACTCTGGGTATCATGTTGGGAGTAGAATGAAGGGCAGAGGCAGAAGCAACAGTCCCAAACAGATGACTTAGGGGGAAGTACTGGAGGGAATGAGTGGTGGGACCTAGGTATATTCTGAAAGTAGGATTTTCAGACAGATCAGATGTGGGCTGCAGGAGAGTGAGGAATTAAGATTTTAGCTGGTTTACCTAGAAGGAGGGAGTAGCCATCAACTGAGATGGGGATTGGAAAGGAAGATAGGGAAGCCTTGAAGGACAGGGCCCTCCTTTGTTTGGCTTCTCTGCCAAAAACCAGATAGACTATTCCAGCCACCCCATGCCAAGGGGCTCACATCACAGACCCTGTCCCAGTCTCTGAGTTCAGGCTCCTCCACTGACTGGGGACCCCAAGATAGCGTCCCTGCCCTTACCCCCGGGAGACTGCCCTTATTCTCACATCTTCCAGGCAGGTGGAGATCACACAACGATGGGAGGGGCTCCTTCAGCGTCTCCAAGGGCAGAGGGAACAGATGACAAGCACCCAGGCCATGCAGAGCCTGCTGCAGGAAATCGAGGCTGCCTCTGACCAGCTCAAGGAGCTGCAGGTGGGCCCAGGACTAGCCGACCACAGGGCAATACAGCAGGATACGGGATTTTCCCCAGCCCTGGGGCTCAAGGGGACCCAGCCCTTTGGATCTGAAATAACCACCCATCTCTGGCCAGGTGCCAGTCAGCTCTACAGCCTGTGGGCAGCAGCTGGCAGAGGTAGTAGAGCTGCTGCAGAGGCATGAATTGTTGGAGGTCCAGGTCTCTGCCCATGGAGCCCGCGTGAGCCACCTTGTCCATCAGACCAAGCTGAGCTCCGCTACTGGCAGCAGTGTGGACAGTGTGGAGATACTGAAGGCCAATGCCCAGCAGCTGGTCCAGCTCCACCAGGGCCTGGTGTCTCTAATCAGGGTCCGGTAAGGGCCCCACTCCAGCATCTCTACCTTCTCCAGAACTCTGAACCCAAATAACCACCTGTCCCTGGCAACTTCCTCTACACTTACTCCCACCCCAAAGACCTCTGTCTCCCCTCTGTCTTTGGTGGTGGTGGTGGTGTACCACCTAGACGGTGCCAACACATAACAACCCTGTATGGGGTTTCCTAGGCTACAAATCTTTGGTTCGCAATCCAGCTTGTAATCCCCTACACCAGGGTTTCTCCACCTCCTGAGTGGTTCAGGGAAAAGAAAATCCTGTGCAATCGGTCAGGTCTGGCCACTGGTAGGAAACTGCTTCCCATAATTCTACAAGTCCCTCGTTGGCGCTTCCGGTTCCCAGGCGCCATCAGTTGGAGCAGGCTCTGCAGTGGACAAAGTTCTTGCACAACTGTGAGGAGGAGGAATCCTGGCTGAGTGAGCGCACACAGCTGGTGGAGAAGGTGGCCCTGAGCCGGGACCTCTGCCAGCTGTCAGCCGCTGTGAAGAAGCAGAAGGTGCCTACCACCTCTTGCCCTGCCGGTCCCCTATCACTCTGCCTGCCCCTCCTACGACCCTGGCCCCTTCCTCTTTCCCTTCCTTTCACTTAGCAGGCTTCTACTGGCCTCCAATAGGCACTGGAAGCCGAGATCCGCCGCCACCAGGGCGTGTGCGCTGACCTTTCGCAGAGGGGACGTGACCTTGGCATTCGGGGACCCCCAACGCAGCCAGATCCCCGGGAGCGAGCTGAGGCAGTGCAGGACGCATGGCAGCTGCTCCGGACCCGGGTGACAGGGCTGGGTGCACGGCTCCAGACAGCTCTGCTGGTCCAGCAGGTACCACAGCGGCTCGAGGTCGATGCTCCTAGCCCCGCACCCTCACTTCCGCACATCACTCCTACTTTACATATCCTTCCTCGCGCATCCCTCCTCCTTCCAACATCCCTCCTCCACAGTACTTTGCAGACGCGGCAGACGCTGCCTCGTGGTTGCGCGAGCAGCGGTCCCTACTGGACAGCATGTCTTGCCGGCCGGACCAAGCGGACGCCGAGACACTACTGCTGCACCACCAGCCGCTACAGCACACCCTGCACGCCTTCGGGGCAGAGCTACAACAGCTGGAAGAACAGGCCCGGGTGGCCGCGGCCCGAGCGTCGCTCGCGGTACAGGTGGGAGCCAGGCACAGGGTGGGGAGGGCAGAGACCAGGAAGGGGCCCAGACTCACAGGTCTGCGAGACCAAATGTTTCAGCCAGGTCCTGGCACTGCACTCCTCTCCCGTGCCCTGTCACCGCTGGGCTGTCCAGAGAGAGAATGGGAGGGTCTTGAAGAGGCGAATCTAAAGCTGTCACTGGACAGGGTGGCACCAATGAGCAGTTTCTATTCGACAATGCAGTTTCCATCATCATCTGTGAGAGATCATTTGGCGATTTAAAACTAATTATCATGGGTGCTACTCTATGTAGATACACCTCTGCTCAGGGTCATGGCCTTACCTGGGTTTGGCAGTGCCCCCATCAGCAGCATCTCACCTGCTGACCCAGCTCAGAGTCAGTAGGAATCCTGTCTGCCCACACATACTGAGATCATTACAGTTGCAGGGTGGCTGCTCACTTTGCCCTGTAGTTTCTAACCACCAATGAGATTCTTCTAGAAATGTCCTCCTTTGCTTTCCTTGCTGGACTTAAAGTGTCCTTAAGCCTGCTTCTACTGGGGCATTCTCTCTCTCTTGACCTGGCTCTCCTGAGTGTTGAAGGACCTAATTGCTAACCATGGTTGTTCAGCAGTAGGATTCTCCCAATCTCCCAGAGACAAGGTTTGACTCCTGATTGATGCAATTCATGTACAGTGGAGGCTTGCATGTGTGTTGCTACGATGCAAAAAAAAGTTTCAACTGAACTTCTAAAACCTAAGACTGGGAAGAAAGTTCTGGTGATCTACTTCTGAAAACTCAGCCAATAAAAACCCTGTGGAGCACAAGTGTAATTTCCTTGTACATGATGTTGCCGAAAGTCAGGGGCTAACAACAACAGTGTGTGCATGCAGTCACTTTAAATCAGGGGTGACTAACAACATTCACTGACCATGGAGTCTCTGGGTAGTGCAGATGGTTAACAGGCTCAGCTTCTAATGAAAGATTGGAGTTCACCCAGAGCACCTAAAAAGAAAGTCCTGGCAATTTACTTAAATAATTCTATGAAACCCACTTCAAATCTCACATGCATGGGGTCACTGTAAGTCAGAATCATTGCAAAAAAACCCAGTTTTTTAAAATGCGTATGTGGTCCTGGCACTTTAGGCCAGTCCCCTTTCAAAAAGTCAGGGAGCTCAAGATATGTACACCAAGGCCCTTAGACTTGGCCCCTCTTCTCCCATCCTCAAGGAAGCTCAGCCTTCATTCCAATCCAGAATCTCTGTTTGCTACACTAGCATCTTCCTGCCCAGGGAACCTCTCCTCCCTTGCACATCCCTCCTCCCTCATGCATCCCTCCGGACCCCTTCTCTCTGCCCAGTCATGCCCAATGCACCCTTTGAGCTGCAACTCAGGTCCTCTTTCTCGGGAGGTAAATGACAGAGAAGTCAATTGTTGACCTGCCTGGTCCCTTCCAGGTCCAAAACGTTTGTAGTTTCAAAACTTTTAATACAGTCTAGATTGATCTCTCTCTTTTCCTCTATGTTTATTCCCTGGGCTACATAACTATAATTAATGCTTTTTGAAATTCAATCCATGGTACATTAACAACTGTCAGGTCCAACCCCTCACTTTACGGATGAAGTAACCAAAGCAAAACAAAACAAAACAAAAAACTGTTTTGTTCAAGTCAATTCCAATTTATTGAACCAAGTCTCTGCAATATCAGATCACTGCCCCAGGATACACTGTTATGCCTGCTGGAGAGGCTCCCAACTCTGACTCCAGAGTTGTTTCTATCCCATCCTACCCTGTGTGTCCATGATGTTTAACTCCGAACACTGATGTTATAGTAACACTTCATGTTTTTGCTGTAAGATTCTAATATCGTCTTCTTTCTGTGTGTGTGTGTGTGTGTGTGTGTGCTCCGCTTCTCCAGTTTGAATTAATTATTTAAGTGAGTGGAGTATGTCCTCGACTGCTCAGCTAGTGCTGGCATTGATGGGATGGTTAAGCCGCCCCCTGGCATTTCCAGGCCCTTGTTTTGCTCAATAGTTCTGGGTGGGGGAGGAGAGGTACCCCCTCTGCTGGGGGTGGGGAGCTACTTTGGCAGCTAAGTAAAGACTTTTCCACCTCCTCCATACAGGGGGAGTTCCCAGAACGCTGGAGCAGGCTTGATGGGAATACCACTGGGAGACACCAGGATTGGCCCCAGCTCTTGGCATCACCAGGTAGCCAGCACCTATGGCCCTAGGCCCAGACATGCTTTCCCTACAGAGGTACAAGAGCTGGGCATGACTTCTGAGAGGGCTCACCCATCCCTTTATGTAAGGGGACACTGTGACTTTTGTCTCCAGGATGTTGCTGGAAACCTGTCAAAAATCCAAACCGATGTTGTTATCATGGGCGAAGGGTTAACCTATTCTATGTGACGCTAAAGCATCCAAGGACTGAAGGAAAGAGGCTAAGGGAAGGCCAATTGAGGCTCAGGTGGAGGAGGGGTTTAGAGCTGCCCAAAGATAGACAGGGCTGCTAGTCTATCTACAAGGGTGAGTCAAAAATTATCCTCACTCCTCTAATATTAAAACGCCTATCCACGTCCATGACTGATGACAACACTGAGCGTGCATGTGAAATGATTCTGTCGGATAGATGAGTGACAGTGGATTCTGAAGCATTTCATTTGCAAATCAACCATGGCTCTGACTATGAAATAATCTATGACAGACTCAGGTTTTGAAAAGTTTGTGTGAGATGAATACCGAAACAACTCACGGAAGAGCACAAACAGAAGCTTTTGAACACTTGCAGACAAAATTTGGACCGATACTCATAGGAGCTCTAGTAGCATAGTGGTTACGAATCGAGCTGCAAACCGCAAGGTCAGCAGTTCGAAACTACCAGCTGTTCCGTGGGAGAAAGATGAGGCGTTCTGCTCCCGCAAAGATTTACAGCCTCGGAAACCCTGTACAGGGTCGCTATGAGTCAGAACCGACTCCACAGCACATAACAACAACAACAACAACTCAAAGGAAGGTAAAAGTTTCTTTAAAACAAACAAAAAAAAATCATTACTAGTGACAAGACAGTAGCTGTCTTGACAATACTAGGACTCTGAGAGTATGCAGCAGAGTGTGGAATGGACACATCCTCAATTGCTGACCAGTAAAAAGCTCAAAAGTCAACCATCAGCTGGTAAATTGATGCCTACAGTTTTCTGGGATCCTCAAGGGCCAGTATTGGAACTGTATCAGGAAAAATGTTCAACACTCAGCAGTGAGAGGCTCACTGAAGAGCTAAAGTCTAAACTTCAGATTAAACACAGAGAACTGCTATCCAGGGTGTTGAGATCTTGCATGACAATGCACTTCCACAAATCTCTGCCCACACTGTTGACACAGGGCAAGAACTTCATGTTGAAGTGTCAAAGCATCCTCCCTATAGTCCTGATCTTTCTCCACGAGACTTCCACCTGCTTAGTCTCCTGAAAGCAGCCCTTCAAGGACAAAGATTCACCTCTGATGAAGAAGTGAAGACAGCAGTGCATTAATGGCTCACAGCTCAGCCTAAAACATTTTTTTTAATAAGGGAATATGAAAGCTTCTTGACAGATGGACAAAGTGTTTTGAAAAGCAAGGAGATAATGTCAAAAAATGATGCATTTGTCTTTTCTAAAAGTTGATTAAAATAAATTCTACAGCCAGAGTGCAGGTAATTTTTGACTCACCCTAGTAGCAGGAGGAGTGAGTTCTCAGCACTAGGCAGCCACCAGAGGAGGTGGCTTCACACCAGTCAAAGGGTAGGTGAGCTGGTCATCTGTTCCAAAACCCAATAGAGCCATTCTAGTCTGTATGCATGCGGTCGCAATGAGTCAGAATTGACCTGATAGCAACCAACCACAACAATTTCCTTTTCTCCAGTCGCCTTACAACCTGGAGCAGCCTGGTCAGATGTTTGCCCTGGGGCTGAGGCACAGAGGGAGGGAGGAGCACCAGCCTGTGCTTTCCTGGTCCTTCTCTGCTGAGCTCCTCTGCCGATGCTGCGTCTCTGGTTCTGTCCACTGAAGTCCCATCTTGTCTTGAAGCCTTTTCCACTGCCCACAGACTGTGCTAGCCTTTTCCCCCCGGATATTCATCAGACATCCATGCAGATTCGGTTTGTCTATGGACAGTCCTGGGACCTATTCTAATGGCTCGTTGTCTGTGAGCCTTACAGTCCTGAAGAATCATAGCCCTCGGTGGGAAGGCCTGCAGAGGTATATCTAACGTAGGCATGTGCCCTGGGTGCCACTGGAAGGGGGTGCCACTAAGCAGTTTCTATGAACCATCAGTTTTCCATCGCCAGCAGTGAGAGGTCATGCAGCATGTTAAAAATTAGTATTTTCATATTTGGAAGCCTCCATGGGTCAAGGGGGAGCATATGATAAGCACTGCACTGTGAACCATATCCACGGTTCGAGCCCACCAGCCGATCTGGGGAAAGATGAGGCTTTCTGCTCCCTCAAAGATTTTTAGCCGCAGAAATCCTGTACAGGGTCACTATGAGTTGGAACCGACTCAAGGACACTTAACAACAACAACAAATAGGTCAAGGGGAGTCATAGTGTGGTGCTGTAGGATAAGCACTGAACTGCTAACCGAAAGGTCTACAGTTCCAATCCACCAGCCACACTGAGGAAGGAAGATGAGGCTTTCTACCCCTGTAAAAATTTGCAGCCTCAGAAACCCTATTCAGGGTCACTATGAGTCAGAGTAGACTTGATGGCAGTGATTTTTTTTTTAGGGGTCTATAGGTCAATGGAAGGAGCTCTGATAGCATAATGGTTACGAATCGGGCTGCTAATTTCACAGTCAGCAGTTTGAAACTACCAACTGTTCCACAGGAGAAAAATGAGGCTTTCTGCTCCCGTAAAGATTTACAGCCTCGGAAACCCTATGCAGGGTCGCTATGAGTCGGAACCAACTCCACAGCACATAACAACAACAATAGGTCAAGGGAAGCCCTGGTGGCACAGTGGTTAAGCTAAACCTAAAGGTTGATGGTTTGAACCCACCAGCAGCTCCACGGGAGAAAGCTATGGCAGTCTGCTTCTATAAAGATCACAGCCTTAGAAACTCTATGAGGCAGTTCTCCTTTCTCCTGTAGGGTTGTTGTTGTTAGGTGCCATCGACTTGGTACCGACTCATAACAACTCTATGCACAACAAAACGAAACACTGCCCTGTCCTGGGCCAACTTCACGGTTGTTGCCATGCTTGAGCCCATTGATGCTGGCATTTTGCTAATCCATCTTGCTGGGGGTCTTTCTCTTTTTCTCTGACCCTCCACCTTACCAAACATGATATCATTCTCCAGCAACTGATCCCTTCTGATAATATGTCCGAAGAATGAGAGACGAAGTATGGCCATCCTGGCCTCCAAGGAGCACTCTGGGTGCACTTCTTCCAACATAGATTTGTTGGTTCTTTTGGCAGCCATGGCACTTTCAATATTCTCCTCCAACACCATAACTCAAAAGCATCAATTCATCTACGGTCTTCCTTATTCACTGTCCAGCTTTCACATGCATATGAGGTTATTGAAAATACCATGGTTTGGGTCAGACGCACCTTAGTCCTCAAGCTGACATCTTTGCTGTTCAACACTTTAAAAAGGTCTTGTGCAGCAGATTTGCCTAATGCAATACGTTGTTTGATTTCTTGACTGCTTCCATGAGTGTTGATGGTTGATCCAAGAAGAATGAAGTCCTTGACTTCATATCCCATGCTAGTAAAGTTTTACCAAAGGTAATACAGAAACGGCTGCAAGCATACACTGACAGAGAGCTTCCAGAGGTTCAAGTCAGATTCAAAAGAAGACGTAGAATTGCTGATGTCTGATGGAGCTTGGCTGAAAGCAGAATATCAGAAAGATGTTTACCTGTGCTTTATTGACTACGCAAAGGCTTTCGATTATGTGGATCATGACAAGATATGGACAACATTGCAAAGTATGAGTATTCCGGAACACTTAATTGTGCTCATGAGGAATCCATACATGGACCAAGATGCAGTTGTTCAAACAGAACATGGGAACACTGAATGGTTTAAAGTTAAGAAAGGTATGCAACAGGGTTGTATTCTTTCACCATACTTATTCAACCTGTATGCTGAGCAAATAATCCGAGAAGCTAGGTTATATGAAGAAAAACATGCCATCAGGATTAGAGGGAGATTCATTAACAACTTGCTATATGCGGATGATACAACCTTGCTTGCTGAAAGTGAAGAGGACTTAAAATACTTACTGATGAAGATTAAAGACCACAGCCTTTGGTATGGATTGCATGTCAATGTAAAGAAAACAAAAATCCTCACCACTGAACCAATAAACAAAATTCTTATCAATGGAGAAAAGATTGAAGCTGTCAAAGACTTTATTCTTCTTGGATCAACCATCCTGTAGGGTTGTTGTTGTTGGTAAGTGCTGTGGGGTCAATTCCTGTAGGATAGCTGAGTCAAAATTGGTTTGGTTTGGTTTGGTTTTTAGTTGGGTCAAGGCAGACTTGGGATCTTGCTCTGCTGAGTGTAGAAAGAGAGTAGTTAGTTAGTAGTTAAGTGCCGTCGAGTCGGTTCCGACCCATAGCGACCCTGTACAGGGTTTCCGAGGCTGTAAATCTTTACGGGAGCAGAACACCTCATCTTTCTCCCGCGGAGCAGCTGGTAGTTTCGAACTGCTAGCCTTAAGGTTCGCAGCCCGATTCGTAACCACTACGCTACCAGAGCTCCTTGTAGAAAGAGAAGAAGCTGGAAAAAATGCCTTTGAGCACATTATGAAGCAGTTTATACCCGTGGTAACAAGGAAGGTACAATTGCCATTCTCATGTTGATCCACAAAGTGCTAAGGAAAAGATCCATGTGCCTGACTTGGTTTTTGTTTTTTTAAACTTTTTTTAATCTTTTATTGTGAATTGAGTAATAGTTTACATAGGAGAACATCGGTTTTACACTCATCCTACCATACTTTGTTTCATTGCAATGATTATAATCCCCTCTGTGCATCATCATTCAACAGTATTTGCTTCTATTCCCTCTGCGGTTTTGTTTTGTTTTGTTTTTTGATGTACACAAAAAACTCAGGAATATATAATAATTTAAACAACCAAAGAGCACATTCTGCGAGCCTGCCTCCTGTCCACCAGCACTCAGTCTTTCTCTTTCCATGAGTCTAGAGTCCTCAACTGCTCTATCTCTCCATGGCCTCATCTCTGCCTCCATCTCTGGTGTCACTGCTTCTCTGGTTGTTGTTGTTGTTGTTATGTGCCATTGAGTCAATACCAACTCATAGCAACTCTATGCATAGCAGAACAAAACACTGCCCGATCCTGGGCTAACCTCATTATTGTTGCCACGCTTGAGTCCATCAATGCTGCCACTTGGCCAATCCTTTTTCTCTGACCCTCCACCTTACCAAACATGATCTCCTTCTCCAGCAACTGGTCCCTCCTGACAATATGCCCGAAGTATGAGAGATGAAGTTTGGCCATCCTGGCCTCCAAGGAGCACTCTGGCTACACTTCTTCCAACACAGATCTGTTGGTTCTTTTGGCAGCCCATGGAACTCTCAATATTCTCCTCCAACACCATAACTCAAAAGCATCAATTCATCTGCGGTCTTCCTTATTCACTGTCCAGCTTTCACATGCATATGAGGTTATTGAAAATACCATGGCTTGGGTCAGACGCACCTTAGTCCTCAAGCTGACATCTTTGCTGTTCAACACTTTCAAATGGTCTTGTGCAGCAGATTTGCCTAATGCAATATGTCCTTTGATCTCTTGACTGCTGCTTCCATGAGTGTTGATGGTTGATCCAAGAAAAATGAATGCTTCTCTGGTTAGGGCCCCACATTCCGCTCATGCTCTTCTCTCTTGAAGGTCCTAGGGTCCTGTGTTCCTGGAACTGACTTGTGCTTTTGAGCTCATACTATGCTAAGATTGTCTAAGAGATCGGTGTCAGATGTTTGGGCAGGAGAGCAATTTTGGTGGCTGCCAGAGATGCTGTGTCCTCCACTAGACCTCCTGTAGATATGCCTCTGAAGGCCTTCTCTCCTAGTCCCCAAGGCTCCTTGTATGAGGCCAGGCCAGGGAACCACCTAGTAATAAAGCACCCCACTACCCAACCCCCCACGCCCGAAGCCTGCTGCGTGGAAAGGCGTGGGACCTGAGCAGTCCTCAGAACCTGTCCTTTTACAGGGAAACATTTCACCTGGCTCCAAGGGGAAACCCTGGAACCGGTGCATCAGATGGGTTCGGACACCTGGGAGCTGAAAGAACCGACAGCCAGCCAGGCCATGGCAGCCCTTAGCTATGGTGTAGAGCAGAAGCCCCAGGTATACCCACTGGCCCCACCCAGCTGCGGCTTCTATTACTTGGGCTGATGGATGCCCTCTGTGAATGAGTTGCCCTTTGTCTGCATAGGCGGGGTCTGCCCTGGGTCCTCAGGGGGAAGGCCCAAGGAAGCAGGGAGCCTGGTGTTCATCTGACCCTGACTTTGACCCCAATACCATACTGGAGACACAGGACCACTTGAGGCAGGATTATGAAGGGCTGCAAGCCCTGATGAAGGTAAGACTCCTTTTCCAAGAATTTCTCCTTGACCACCTGCTCTGTGCTTGCCCTATGCCATGAACGCAGGGAACAGAGCAGTAACTGGACATGCTCCTTGCCCTCAGAGAGCTTACATTTTGGCAGAGGGGCTATCAAACCAACCAGTGGGAGGATTTGGGTACAGTGGGTCATCTTGAGGGGGCAGGGAAAGGCATCTCTCTGGAACGGATGTTGAAGCTGAGACTTAAACAAGAAGCAGAGGACAGGAATGGCAAGGAGTGTAGGGGAGGTAGATGTCTGGGAAAATAAGGGAAGTGTTCTAGGCAGGACCTGTGCAAAGGCAGTGGAAGGAGTGATGGCCACAGTGCCTGGAGCACAGTGGCCAGGGAGGCAGTGGCTGGGGAAGAGGCAGGAAAGAAGTGTGGATTTTCCCTCAGAGCAGTGGACAGTAATGAAGGGCTTTGAGCAGGACAGGAGGGAGGGAGAACACATGCTAAGTTCTTGCCTGACAGAAGGTGCAGGGGTGGGGGTGGGGTGGGTGGGCAACTTGAGCTGCATTAGGGAGTACTGGGCCTCACCTTCCTCTGGGCTGCCTCTCCTCAGCATCGCAGGGCCGGACTAGAAGAGGCGGTGGCCCTGTTTGGCTTCTACAGCTCCTGTGGTGAAGTCTTGTCCTGGCTGGAGGACCAGACAGCTCTGATCCAGATGCTGCAGCCCCAGGCTAACAACTTAGAGATCATGAAGCTGAAATATGAGGTGCGGCCCCCTCAGAACCCAAGGGCATCTTAGATACTTGACCATACTCCCTCTCCTGATTTCCATCCCTCTTCCCCTTTCCTGAAGGAGCTCTGGTAGCGTAGTGGTTATGAGTTGGGCTGCTAACCTCAAGGTCAGCAGTTCAAAACTACCAGCTGTTCCACAGAAGAAAGATGAGGCTTTCTGCTCCAGTAAAGATTTATAGCTTTGGAAACCCTATAAGGAGTCACTATGAGTTGGAACCAACTCCACGGCATGTAACCACTACCACCACCTCCTTTCCTGACTCCCTATTCACTCCTGTACCCCAGTTCTCCATGAGAACTCTGGTCCTACCTGAGGAAGGGAGCAAGGAAGTTGGCCTTGAGTTTTGAGGCCTCATAACCCTGTCCTTCCAGAAGGATGCAGTTTGAGCCTCTTTGGAACAGAGAGTATGGCAGAGGTCAATCACAGACTTGAAGGTAGTATGGGAAAAGAAGGAGCCCTTTAGAAGCTGGGATTCTTCTTGTCCCCAGAACTGTCTTGCCACCCTGGCTGTGGGAAAGAGTCGCTGGGCTGAGGTCAACAGCTCCGCTGAGCAACTGCAGCAGATCCATCCTGGGGACTCCACACGAATCCAGCAACAGCAGGAAGAACTGAGTCAGAGGTGAGTGAGGAGGCAGTGGGAGGTGATACAGGTTTGAGTGCCTGCTCACCTGCCCCTGAGATGACAGGTAGAGAAACTGACATGTCAGAGACAGGGAGGAGTGGGCCTGGGGACTAACCTGGCAGCTTGTTTTGTGTGCCCAAGGCCCCGGATAGATGGGTGACTTCTCTGTCATGGAAACATGTCTGGTGCCCTCTGCCCAGGTGGAGACAGCTGGAGGCCCTGACAAAGGAGAAGGAGATGGAACTGGCAGGCATCGCAGATGTGTGTAGCGCTCTGCAGGAGTGTGACTCCATCCAGGACCATCTGCAGGACCTGAGACTTCAACTGGAAGCCCAGGAGCCCGGGAGCTCAGGGAGCAGGACACACATCCTACAACAGAAGGTGCTAGTGCTCAAGAGGAGGACCCACCACGTCCAAAGTGTGGCCATAAAGTAAGTTCAGCCGGGAGACAGGGAGGCAGTGGGGCAGGGAGTGTTGCTGAGCAGGATTATGGAATAGTGACGGAAGAATGAGGAGTGAGTGCTGACCGAAGGGCTAGGGCAAAGCTGGTGGTGGACACTATGTGAGAGAAAATAATCAGGGTGAGAGAAAGGGTCACATAGGTCGAGCTGAGGGGGTGCATGTATGCCTGAGCAGAGGAGCAGTAACTGGGGCCCTGGGCTCAGAGCAGGCAGGGCACTGACTGTACACTGGGCACTCCCCAGGGTAGAGGAGTCAGGCCCCACAGAGAGCTGGGCCCTGAGAGACCGGGTGAAGACACTGCACGGGCTGCTGAAGCAAGTGCAGGGGCAGGCGGTCCAGCAGACTCAGGCCCAGGCCGAGGCTCAGGCCCGGCACAGCTTCCTGCAGGAGAGCCGGCAACTGATGCTCTGGGCAGAGGGTGTCTGGGCTCGGCTGCACAGTGAGGAAGAGGCAGTGGACATGGCCTCAGCCCAGAGGCTCCTGGCGGAGCATCAAGACCTGCTGGAGGAGATCCACCTGCAGCAGGAAAGGTCAGGAGAAAAGGGTGAATGGGACACGCTGCAGGCTAGCAATGGGCCAGAGAGAGAGAGGTGGCAGGACTCAGTGTGGCTACCCACAGGAATGGTCCAGGCCGGTGGCCTGCATGAAGCTTGAGTCCAATTTATAGGAGGCAGGATGTAAACTAGGACTTGGGTCAGGAATTCTGTATACTTCAGGAAGGGATCCAGGGCCTAGTCTGAGCTGCCCGAGAGGTTGTCTGCATCCTGAACCTGGCCATACCCAATTCTGGTGAGCCTGGTAGCTTGTTTCACTCAGACCCTACTGGGCCCTGGAGTGGAAAAGCTCAGGACTCACTCCGAGACTCAGATATACATCGCCTCAGCATGGCAATGCTGCTTCTCATACAGGGATGATGTTAGTGCCTACAGGCTTTAGTCCCCATGAAGGAGCTTGACTGGTGGGTCCAGTGGGTGTCAAAATTCATCCATCCTCTGCTCGCCAGACCCTACCACCCAGCCAGAACTGCCTCAGCCCAGAGCAAGTAAAGCCTTCTTCTAATTCACTCAAAGATGTTGGCTGTCCCCAAACTGGATAAGAGCGGGAAGAGTTACCTTTTCTAATTGCACAAAGGCTTCTTGTGAGCTAGCAGTGGCCCTGCAGGCAGGCTTGTGGTCTGAATGATTTTTCACTTACTGAGATGTGCTGACCTGACCTGGCCACCAGCAGTCCACATTTGCAGGACAGCCAACTGCAGAAAGGGTTAAGACATACAGGGAGCCTAGGAACTATTGCACACCTAAGTCCTATGCTCGATGCCTCCTTAGCAGGCCAGACACAGTTGTCCCACAGAATGAGTGAACCAACTAGGCCAAGCAGCCTGAGCTCAGCACTCGAGGGTAAAGGAGGCATGGAGACCAGGAGAAGAAGGTTGGAGAATAGAGCTGGAGGAGTTTGACCGTCTACCTGTCACCCTGGATAGGTTTCAGAAGCTGGAGGCTCAGGGCCAGCACCAGGCAGCCTTAGACTCCCCAGGTTCCCAAGAGGTGACGAGTGCTCTGGGGCTCCTGGGCCAGCAAGGCAGAGAGCTGAGGGCTGCCTGGGAGCAACGACAGCGGCAGCTGCAGGAGGGGCTGGAGCTGCAGAGGTTTGGCCAGGAAGCAGCTGGTTTCATTGCCATCTGTGCCAACCATGAGACCTTCCTTCATCTGGACCACCTCTGGGTATGGAGCCATGGGTGGGCACTGGGATGCTGCTCCCTCAGCACTGGAGGGACCTCACCTCCTGGGGCTCAGAAGCCAGGATAAGCAGTAGGTCCCTGGATCAGTGAGATGGTGCCGACCCCCATCCTCCCAGGCATGACCCCAGGTCTCTGCACCCCCAGGAGGATGTAGGGGAGATCCAGCACCTGCTACAGCGGTCTCAGGAGTTTGAGCGGCTCCTGAGCATCCTGAGCCCCCGGGCAGAGGCTCTGCAGGCACATGGCCGGAAGCTGGTTCAGAGCCAGCACTCTGCAGCACACACGTGAGACTGGGTCTCCATCTGGGCAGCGCCCACCTCCCTTGCTCTGTTAGTCTGCATACATTATTGTCCTGAGACTAGCAGGAGCTCTGCTGTCCCAGGAATGTGGGTGGGCAGACAGCGTGCCTTGGGCTGGTGGACCAAGGGCAGAGTGGAACCCTCACCCCTATTCCTCACCCCCTCTGCCCTCCAGGGTCAGAGAGCAGCTGCAGAGTGTCCAGGCCCAGTGGACCAAGGTCCGGGAGAGGAGTGAGCAGAGAAAGAAGCAGCTGCTAACTTCCCTCCAGCTCCAGGTGAGAGATCGTACCCTGAGGAACGCCTCATGTGAAACTGCTGCGCCAAAAACCGTGACAGGAGATGGGGAACTTTTCACACATGTGTTGTCGATCGATAGGACACTTTTGAAGCAAGCATGATGGCCCTGAACTTTCCAGATGAGGACACTGAGTCCACGGCATTCCACTCTTAGAGTCAGGACTGGGGCTCAAGTCCAGGCCTCCTCTTGAATATCCCCTATTCTGTCCCTTATCAAGTGAGTCCCTAACAATTCTGGACACACATGAAACTCTTCCATGGGTCGTGGGTACCAGCTACAGACCAAGTTTCTGTCAGATGTTTATTCAGCACCTCTTAGGTACTCAGAACGGGGCTAGCCCACAGGTTCACACATCTTGAGTCTGGTTGGAGCTGTTTGGCCAATACCAGACCCCATGTGGCTAGAGTAGTAGGAACACCCACCAGGTGTTCCTCGTTTCTGGCACAGGGCTCTGGAAAGTTCCAACCCTGACTCCTGGGGCCTCCTCCTACTATTTTTCCTGAGACATTCTCCCTCCAGATCTCCTCAGATGTCCCCTCCCAGCTTGGGAAGCGGTAACTTCTCTTAGACCCCAAGATTGGCTCTGGGTCCTGTTCTTCCCCGTGGGTATCCTTGGACCAGTCTCACTCCCATTCTTGGGCAGGAATGGAAGCAGGATGTGGCAGAGCTGATGCTATGGATGGAGAAGAAGAAGCTGATTGTAGCAGATGAGGCCCCTGGAGAGTCCAGGAACATCCTGCGGAAACTCAGATGGCACAAGGCAGTTGAGAGTGAGCTGCTGGCCACTCACAGGCATGTGGAGAATGTGGAACAGGTGGGAACACTATACAGCAAACGCAGTCTTCAAATTCCCAACTAAACAACGCCATACATCTTTATGATCCACACTCACTGAAGGAAGATTTACCCTCAGTTACTATGAAGTTAGGATCTCCCAGCTACCTCCTTCACTCAAGTGGACATGCCTTTACCTTGGTACCCAAGCCAACCCTGAAAGCTGCTGTCATTCTTTCCCCAAGTCCCTCAGAGCAAGTTCCAGAGCCTACCACCTCCACCAGAACAAAGGTCTTCCCAACAGTTAACCCGCTCAACCTACTGTACTTGCAGAGGTCCAAGGAGAGCCCTCTGCCTCTGCCCACAGATTTGGGAAGCCTGTGGAATGCAGCTTATGGTCAGCCACCCTCCACCTCTGCTGCCTGAGTCCAGCCTGCTGTGGCCACTTATGGCACCAGTGACTCAGCATGCCTCCCTTGGCCTTGGTCTCCACTGCAGGTTGGGAGAGAATTGTGGCACCAAGTGCCCTGTGCTCAGGAGGATGTGCAGGCCAGGCTGCGGGACCTGAGTTGCAAGTGGAAGGAGTTGAACCACAAGATAGCAGAGTGTGGGGACAAGCTCCGGCAGGCCAGACAAAAGGAGCAGCTCTTGGAGTTGCTACAGGTCAGCTGAGGGGGTGCAAGGCAAAGGGAGAGACTGAGGTGGGGTGGGGGTGGTATGGGAACAGGCTGGAAGAAGAAGGAGGAGACTCTGAGTGGTCTCCTAACTCTGAAGTAGCTCTGTGAAGTCCAGCAGCAAATTAAGAGTGACTTTACCCATCAGTCAGTCTACAGTTCCAGGGCGTGGTCAACACAGCTTGAGTTCCACTGGAGAGGAACAAGTATGAAGGGACAGGGGTGTTCATGAAGCAGTATGAAGGGACAAGTTTATTCATGAAGAAGTATGAATGGACAAGGTTGTTGATGAAGCTCTGGGAGGCTCAGGCACAGCTGGTTGCAGGCTGACAATGCATGGACAGGGTTCTCCAGTAGGTGAATCTGATGTACTTATGACTGTAGTCTCAGACACCTGCTGTCCTTTATACCAAGAGCCTCATGCCTGTGTCACTCCCTAGGAGGCCAAAGAGAAGATGGAGCAGCTAGAGGGGGGCCTGCAGACTACAGCAATGGGGCAGGACCTGCGCTCAAGCCGGGAGCTACAGAAACAGCACCGCCAACTGGAGGACAAGAGCCAGGCTCTGGCCAGCAGGGTGGCCACCCTCACCTCCCAGGCCGGCTGCATGCTCAATTCCCAGAGCTTCCTGGAGGAAACCCAGACGTGCCTCCAGAGGTGGGACTGCCCCTCCACTGGCCTGTTTGCCCCATCTTTACCCTTGCCTCATGTGAACTTGAGGGTGGTTTGAAACAGTGAGCATAGGAAGGTGGCACCCAAGGGCCTGAGGTGGCTCAAGCCCATCCCCTTCAGTGTGCTCTGTGATCGGAAGCCAGGCAGCTCATCTGGGGGTAAGGTGAAGCCGCCTCATCATCATCAGATGAGGCTTTCCCTCAGTTCTGCCTGGCTCCTCCTGGATTCCTGGTGGCTAATGAAAAGATTGAGAGCCTAGTCCTCACCCAACTCTCAAATTCTCGCATCACATCTCCCTTCACCTAGGCTCCAGTCCCTGCAGGGTCGCCTGGCCACTCGGCACCTGCAGCTGCAGGCCTCAGTTGAGCTGCACCAGTTCTACCACCTGAGCAACCTGGAGCTCACCTGGGTGGCTGAGTCCATGCTCAGTGCCAGTTCCAGCAGCTACGCCAGGTGTTTGGATGATGCCCAGCGCCTTTGCTATAAGCACAAGGTGAGACTCCCTCTTTCCCAGGATCTCTGGCATCTCATTTTCTCGGTTTCCTCTCAGGGTGCCCGGCCTCTGTGCTTCTTTCTCTGGTTGTCCTGAGTTCCAAGTCTCTTCTCCCGTTACTCTGGGCTCAGAGTTTTTGCCAAGATTGGAACCTGGAGCTATGGCTCTGGCCCACAACCTCTCACTGTGCTCTCTCAGGTGCTCCAGGCTGTGGTGAAAGCCCACCAGAGACAGATGCAACAGGTGCTGGTCTTTGGACAGAGCCTCGCAGCCTCTGGCCACCTCTATGCCCAGCACATCGGGGAGCAATGTCAGAAGCTTAAAGGGTGCTGGGCAGAGCTGGAGAAGGCGTGTGTGGCACGGGCCCAATGCCTGCAGCAAGCTGTTGCTTCCCAGCAGGTAGGATGAAGAAAGCACAGGGTACATGGCAATCGTGAGGGCAGACTCTGGGTGTGGGTCAGTGGTACAAACTCAGGGCCAGGAGCCAGTTGGCCTCCTTATGGGCACAGGAGCCCCTTGTGCTGCTTGCTGGAGAGATGTCCCCAGGGTGTTATGGGGACGGTCCTGTCTGAGATCACCAAGGTGACTCAGTCCCATTCTTGACAGTATTTTCTGGAAGTGTCAGAGCTGGAGGGCTGGGTGGAGGAGAAGTGGCCACTGGTAAGCAGTCAGGACTTTGGCAGAGACGAGACCACCACCTTCAATCTCATCAAGAAGCACCAGGTACCACCCCCTGAACTTTACCCACCTGTCTGGACTTGTGTGATCAGGAGCCACTCACATTCCTAAGGAGCCACAAAACCTGCTCTCTGTTCCTACTGCCCCAGCCAGCTCCATCGCTATCACCTCCCAAATCCTGCAGCCTCCCCTCCTCATCCCCAGCACTCCCAGGAACTGTGGTTTCAACAGCGTTCTCCTTCATCAGTCTCTGTTCTATCCTTGCTTAACCTGATGGCCTCTGGGTTTCTGTCTTCTCTTCTTGTTTCTTCTCTTACCCTGTCCCCACCACACTCTTCTGTCCTCTTGGGATCATCTTCTCAAGCTCTCTCCACATCTTCAACAGATTTCTTACTCTCCAGATTGTGAATAGCGTTTTTAAGTTAACCAAACGCCTTTCTTGAAGCTACCTCCTCCCACAGCATCCCCTGATTAAGGAGGCCCGAAACTCACCCTCCTCATTCCCGAAATTGGCCCTCAGAATCACATAGCAGTCCTGATTCCTAGTTCCACTAAAATGTCCTTTCATCTGGGCATCTGGGCATCACGGCCCAATGTTTCAATTGGTCCTGGGTCTGGAAATCTTCAGTGAGTCTTTCTTAAAGGGCCGGGACCACGTGTGTGGCCATCACCTCACATAGCTTTAGTGTGGCCGTCACACCTGGGCAGGTTAATTAATGCTATCCACCTTTTACACTTTGATATGGAAAGCCTGTAGAATACCTTCTGTTGCTGCCCTTCCGTGGCCCAGATTCACCCTTCCCCTGATAAATAATGAGTCCTGAGGGTACAGACTATGTTTTCACTTCTTTGGGGACAATAAGTGCTCCATCAGTATGGGATATTGGATGGATGGATGATGGATCAGTGGGTGGATGAATGGATAGGTGGATGGATCAATGAATTGATAGGCAGATTGGATAGGTGAGTATATTAATAGATGGATGAGTTAGTGGGAAGGTGAAGATGGATGGATGATAGGTGAGTGTATATATGGGCAAATGAGTGGGTGGGAGCGAATGGGTAGGTAGTTGGGTGGATGGATGAATGTTGTTGTTAAGTGCCATCGAGTCGGTTCCAACTGATAGCAATCCTGTATAGGGTTTCCAAGGAGCAAGTAGTGGGTTTGAACTGCCAACCTTGTTTGCGATCCAGTTTGCAATCCAGTGCTGATCCACAGCGCCACAGGTGAATGACAATCTCCCAAACTGAGCCTGGTATGGGTCTTTGTGTACTGACAGGCCCTGCGACAGAAACTGACTCTTTATTGGAACTTCATGGAGGAGCTTGACCACAGGGTCCACACTCTCAGTGGCCCCGAGGCCCCTGAGCAGGTGTGTGTGACACAGGAGAGGCTCTGGAAGCAGCTGAAGGCCCTGCAGGAGGTGGCAGCACATCGGTGAGGGTCACTGCAGCCTCTGTCATCAGTAGATTCCAGGAACCTGGGTGGGATGGACTGCTCCCCACATGGCATTCCTGACTTGAAAAGAATCCATGACCCAGGCCCATAGACATGTCAGGGGAAGGACAAGCCCCTGTTGTGTATTACATGCCTTTTTCATTGACTCTTCAACGAGAGCCTGTTGGGTAAGAGCTCAGCTTCCCCAGCCCCAGGCATCTGCCCCTTTCCCACATCCATGCCCCTCATCAGCCCCCTACACTCGCCTTCCAATGTCTACTTCTACCTGAATCCAGAGCTGCAGGCTTGGACAGAGACCATGAATAGTGTCATCCTTCAGGCAGCCCCCTTTATTGGATTAGTTCCCCAAAGTGTGAACAAACTAACTGCTGGGGAGCCATGGGCTGTCACCACAGGGACCGGGAGCTGGAGAGGACCCTGAAACTGCACGAGTTCATGAGGGAAGCTGAGGACTTGCAGAGCTGGCTGACCAGCCAAAAGCAGATGGCCAGAGGAGAATGCCCCGGAGAGGACTACGAGCACGTCCTGGTGAGGAAAGGGCTAGGGACGAGGATGAAACGCGGAGACAGGAGGATGAGGGGTAGAGAGGCTGGTCTCAGCTGGGCTGTATGGAGAAAGGGACCATGGGGGTCCCCAGTCCTGACTGAAGACAAGCCTTGAGCCTCCTACTTGCCTCTTCTGGGTGGTGTGGGCAGGTGCTGTGATGGCTGCTCAGTCCCACCTTGTCCAGTCTGTATCTGAGGCTTCTGCTTTCCTGGCTGCTCACTGCCTCACGTGCTGGGGGCCACCCTGTTTGTTACCCACTCTCTCCTCCTCAGCACCTCAGGACCAAGTTTGTCAAGTTTCAGCACCAGGTGGAGATGGGTGGTCAATGGGTGGCTGCCTGCCAGCAACTGGCAGATAGTCTACTGGAGACTGGGTCTAGAGCTGCCTCCAAGGTCCATCAGAAGCGGCAGGACCTACAGTGAGTACCCAGTGGGCCGGATCATGAGTACGAGTTTCAGAGAAAGTGCTGGGAAGGCCGTTTCTGGAGTGTTTTGAGAGGACAGGCAGGTGCCTAGGCCACACCAGCTCAGCCTATCCATAAGGTATCTGGTGAGGGAAGCTGAGCCTAGAAGGGAGGCGAAGCTGGGTTTTCAGGTCAGAGCCTGGCCCCAAAACTGACTCCTTAGAGGCACTTTTCCAAACCATTGGCTCCCTGGACTCATAGGAGGCATTCTTGGAAGAACCTGCCTGGACTGGGGCCAGGATCCCTCCTACAAACTTCCACACAGCTCCCAGACTTGCCCATGTCACAGTCCTTGCCTTACCATGTTCCTAGCTGCCTACCAGATGGTAAGCTTTGAAGCAAAATCACGATGTATTCATAATCCGTAGCACAGAGTCTGGCCTGTCAAAAGTCTCGGGCTCAGTGGGAGTTAGCTGAGTGAACAAGACATGGAGAGATGCAGTCTCTACCTTTGAAGTATTTGTAGTCTACTTGAGCATTAGATGCACAAGATGTGAGGAATATTATAAAGCACAGGCATACCAAACTTAACCCTACCCACTGACATTGAGCCCATTCCAACTCCTAGTGACCCCACAGGACACAGTAGAATTGCTCCAAAGGGTTTCTGGGACTGTAAAGCTTTCCTGGAGCAGACAGCCTCATCTTTGTCCCATGGAGCAGCTGGTGGGTTTGAACCGCTGACCTTTTGGTTAGTAATCCAACACTTGACCCATAGCACCACCAGAGATCCTGGTGAGCTTTATAATAGCAAGGGACAAGTTCCTAGTAAAGACAGAAAGGTAACCACATGGAAAGACAGGGAGTAGCTATCCAGTACCTTTGGACAAGTCCTAGATACAACCCAGGAAGCAGGACTGACCAGATGGGGTCTGAGTGGGAGGAATGAGATACTGGGCTACTCACTGACCTCCTGCTGGTCTTCTACATGCCTGGTGATAGGGCTGCCTGGTCAGAACTGTGGGAGCTGACCCAGACCCGAGGCCGCCTGCTCCAAGATGCTGAGATCACCCTCAAAGTTCACACAGATCTGTGGGAAGTGCTTACCCAGATCCAGGTGTGAGCCCAGGGGAGGGAGGGATTCTGGAAGTGGAGCCACTCCAGGTTCAGAGCCTCACCCTCAATTTCTGGTCCCTTGGCCATCTACCCTCCTCAGGAGAAAGCCACGAGCCTCCCAGATGCTGTGTCCCAGGACCTTCATGGGGTGGAGGCCCAGCTGAGGAGACATGAGAGACTAGAAGGGGAGCTAATGGGCACTGAGAAGCAGGTGAGCTCAGGTTGGCTGCCTTTCCAGCTTGGGCCCTACAGACCCCCTCAGGCCTGGCCCATCTGTTCCTCTAGGCTTTTCACAGTCCCTAGGGTCATGGCAGGGCACGGCCCAAAGATGGGTTTCCCTGCTGGCTTCAGATACTCGGCAAGGAACATGTCTGTGGAATGGTCAGATCCTCGGCCTCAGGAAGGACACTATCCTTCTCCCATCCCCTTCTCTGACCCGCAGGTGCAGAAACTGCTGGAGACTGCAGGCAGGGTGCAGAAGCTATATCCCGGGCCTCAGGCTGATGCTGTGCAGTGGAGGCAGCAGGCCATGGTGCAAGCTTGGGAGGCCCTGCGGCTGAGCATGGAGCAGCGCAGGGCTCAGCTAGAGCAGGCATGCCTCCTGGCCCGCTTCCATGCAGCGGTGAGAGCTTCTTCCCATCAGGAGACTGTGTGTATGTGTGTTGTCCTGTACAAGTGTCCTCCAGTTCTGGGAGGAGAGCAAATGTGGACAGAGATGGGAAAGCATGAGCCTGTGTGGCTGATCAGAGGGTTTGGCACATGGGGTGTAGCCGTGATTCCTCAGGTGTGAGTCAGTCCCAGCCCAGGTGAGTGATGGGCAGTCGTGCAGGGGCCCAGCTCAGGTGGAGGAGTAAGAACAGCCCAGGTAAACCTCTAACTGGAGACCCAGATGCTCCCTCCAGGTGTTCTAGGCCATGACTTCTGGACCAACCAGATTCTGTTCACTGCCTGGTTTGACTCTGTTGAGAGCTGTAGTGGAAAGAGGAGAGTGACAAAGAAGCATCATAAGTTAGGATAGATGCCCACATAGAGTTTATCTAGTTGGTGGATAATGCCCCAGAAAGTCAGATTGAGACAGTGGGGCCTGACCAGGAGACTCAACTTATAACACTGCCAAGAGTTTAAAGTTCAGCTATTTAGTTGTTTAATGTTGTTGTTGTTAAGTGCCATCAAGTCAATTCTGACTCATAGCAACCCAATAAAGGGTTTTCTGGGAGTGACTGGTGAGTTTGAACCACCAACCTTGTGGTTCAAACCAACCTTGAGGATGAGTGCTTATCCTATGGCGCCACGACAGTATGAGCCTAACCAAGGCACTTAGCCCTAGATGGCTCCTCTGCATTTGTCCAGCACTAAGCATTTTCCAAACTCTTTCTCACACATTGTACTTTTTAACTTTCATCTATGCAATAAGACAATGCAATGGACAAGGGCCCTCCAGATCTACCACTCTGGAGTGGTTCAGCATGAATCAATGAAAGATCATCTCTAAGTTAAATTGGTAGTCATTGGACAAGAAGCTGCCAGGGAGGGCTGCAGGAAGCAGAGAAGACAGGAAGGAAGAAGGAAATTCTAAGTAGGAGGGGCAGCGGGAGCAAAGGCTGGAAAGGAGGCTTGGTGTGGATGTGCTATTAAGGAGTAGGGGTGGGAGTGGAGCTCCCACATGTGGAGGTTTGGTGGGCTTGCGAGGATCAGTTGGATGAGAATGGAGGACAGGTGACAAGGGACCCTGTTAACCTCACCCAAGGCTCTGACCTAGGAAAGCTCCAGGCAGGCCCTCCATGAGTGAATTCAGACTGGCTGACATGGTGCCTCAGTGGTTCCCTGCCATCCAGCCCTCACCCTGCTCTCTCCCTTCATCTTCTGGGATCCAGGTGCAGGACTATACCTCATGGGCAGCCAGTGTGCAGCATGAATTGGAGGTAGAGGAGAGCTTCCAGGACCTCAGCAGTGGTCCCCTAAAGCTCAGTGTCCACCAACGACTTCGGGCCGAGCTGGAGATCCGGGAGGAGCTACACCAGCAGGCTGTCCAGCTGGGCCAGCAGACACTTCTGACTGCAGGGTCGTCCACCAAGGAGGTGGGCCTCCCAACCCACCCTGGCCAAGCCTGTATCTGACCACCTGGGACCCCATCCCATGGGGCCATGTTGGTCTCTTCTTGGAGACTTCCCTCCAGGCCATTTTCCTGTCTTGTCCGTGCTGCTCTCCCCAGCTCAGACTCCCCACATGCTCAACCCTAGGTCCAGGAAAAGCTGCAAGCCTTGCAGGATGCCAGGGAGCAGGTATTCCAGGCCTGGGAGCAGAAACAGGAGAAACTGCAGGTCCTGCAGCAGGAGCAGCTCTTCCTCAGAGAATGTGGCCACCTGAACACAACCCTCCACGCCCAGGAGGCAGGTCCCCTCACCCCACAACACACATGCACACACCCGCTTCTTGTCTTCCCTGTTTCCCGCTCCCCGGCTCGTTCCCTTGCTTCTTGGGTCTCTGGATTTTTTATTTTTTTTTCTGATACGGAGCACTGGTAATTAATCCCTCCATGTGTCCAAGGGGGCTGCTGAAACCCCCATGTCCCCAGGTCAGTCAGAACCCTCTTCTCCCCTCACCCTACCCCAACTGTGCCCTGTGGGATTTGGTTGAAGGTTGATCATGTTCCCTCCTTTGTCAGAAGTTAAGGAACTCCCAAGTTGGGATGTCTGTCATTCTTCCTCACAGTTCCTCCTCGCCCATGTTTGGTGGCCACCTCAGCTCCCACCCCAAAAGTCCAGGCCACAAACAGAGAGAGTGGCCATCATCTGCTTTCTGGGGTCCTGTCTGAACCACTTTCAGGCTCCCAACTCCCCACTCTGACTCTTCCGTTGGCTGGCCCAGATTTCCCTGAAGACCAGTGTCCTGGGTTCCTCCCTGGAAGAGGTGGAGCAATTGATCCGAAAGCATGAGGCCTTCCAGAGAGTGCTGACTGCCCAGGACAAGAAGGTAATGGGCTTGAATCCCCTGTGCATGGTCCAGGTGGGGGTGGGAGAGTCCAGCCTCTGTGGGGGATCCAGGGTGTCGTGTGCACACAGAATCAATGCACTACGGCATCTGATTCAGGTTGACAGTTTACAAGTTGTCTGTGTGGCCCAGAAGAGTGCTGGGAAGGGGCAGGCCACACTGGGGACCACATGGGGCCTTTGGCTCTATGTCATGTGGTGACTGACGTGGAGTCAGCCTTCCACCATGCAGAGCTGAGGGAAGGCTTCAGGAGCCTCACAGGAAGGCTTTGGACTCTGTGAGCCAGTCCCCATCCTTGCCTCCCCTGGTGGGAGATCCTCAGGCTGTTCCTCCCTGCCCTATAGGAGGCGGCTGTACGAGAGCAGGCGAAGGCTTTCCAGGTCCCCAGGGTGCAGGGCTTGCTGGGTGAGATGCTGGAGCTGCGGGCTCGAGTGAAGGACTTGGCAGAGAGCCGGCGAGGAGCCCTGCACACCTCTCTGCTGACAGCTGGCTTCACCTGGGCAGCGAGCCAGGTCAGAGAGCATGCCAGCCCAGTGCCTCCCATCCGAGTCACGCTTCCTTCACATGCACGAAGGTCCTCACTGCAACCCTGTGATGAGAAAATTGGCTTGGAGAATTCAGTTGATTTTCCACAAGCTGAGCTGGGACTAGAGCCCCAAAACATTTGATCCTCAGACCCTCCTGTGTGGAGACCTCATCTGTTTACTCAGCTCTAGAAGACCCAAAACAGGGCCTCAGGGACACAGGTGCCACCCTCCACACAAGACCCCATCCAAGGCCCCTGTCCAGCCACTTCCTAGACCTCAAGGCCAGCTGGGTCTGGGGCATGTCTTCCTAGGCTAAAACCGCTATACCTGGACCTGCCCAGCCCTGCCCACAAGGCCAGCATTCTACTACCTGAGCTCAGCTGAGGGACAGGGGATGACCCTGTGAATTGAGGCAGTATTAAGCATCAAGGGATCCATGTCCCCCCACACCCCACAGACTGAGGACTGGATCAAGGAGCGGTCCCAGAAACTGAAGGAGCCTGCCCCTGCTGGGGACCTGAAAAATAAGCTGATGCACCTGCAGAAACACAAGGCCTTTGAGGCTGAGGTCCAGGCCCATGAGGAGGTGGTAACCTCTGTTGTCAAGGTAATAGCCAGGCCCTCCCCTACCTCCCCACTCCCTGGTCCCAAGTGTTGAATCCCAACGGGTGAAGGGGAGAAGTCTTAGACAAAGGGAGCCTGGGATGACAGAAAAGCAGGAGGAAGGGGACAGCCCAATGTCCCCTCTCTCCGTAGAAAGGCCAGGCTCTCCTGGCCCAGAGGCACCCTCTGATGGGGGAGGTGGAGCAGAGGCTGCGAGCACTGCAGGAACACTGGGAGTCACTAAGACAGGCAGTAGTGCTCCGCGGCCAGGACCTGAGGGACACGCAGGGCGTCCTGGAGTTCCTGCGAAGAGTGGACCTGGCAGAGGCCTGGATCCAGGAGAAGGTGGAGATCTAACTGGCATGGGGCAGACCTGGGGGTTGGGGGGTAGGCAAGGGGCCCCTGGCCTGCATCTTGTGCCAGTGGGCTGGGTGGGCCTAGGGCCTGTGCTCAGAGCGCCTGGGTCTCCACAGGAGGGGCTGCTGAATCTTGGTGACCTGGGCCAGGACCTTGAGCACTGCTTGGAGCTCAGCAGGCAGCTCTGCAGGTTACAAGGATCCTTGGCTGGGGTAAGGGGGCCCTGCCCTGGGAGAGGTCGGCCCCAGCATCCTCTCCTGGGAAATACAGCTCAAGTAGTGAGAGAGCAAGCTTTAACACTTGGCTGCTAACTGAAAGGGCAGCAGTTTGAACCCACCAGTGGCTCTGCAGGAGCAAGATATGGGAGTCAGCTTCTGTAAAGATTTAGAACAGGGGTGGAGAATGTTTTTCTGCCAAGGACCACTTGGCACTGCAGTTCCAACCCACCAGCTGCTCCTGGAATACCCTATGCAGGGTCACTATGAATTAGAACAGACTTGATGGCACGTTAACAACAATAAAATGTGATGGCTGGAACTGCGGTTGCCTTGGCAGGGCCCAAACAAATGCTTTTGTGGGCCTCATAGAGCCTGCAGGAGTCCTGGTGTGGTGCTGGGGTTAATTCACTAGACTGCAAGGTTGGTTTGAACCGCAAAGTCGGCAGTTCAACCTTACCAGCTGCTCCTCAGAAACCCTATACAGGGTCACTGTGAGTCTGAACCAACTGACAGCACTTAACAACAACAACAACAACAACAACATATGGCCTGCAGGCCAGACTTTCCCCACCCCTGATTTAGAGCCTTGAAATCCTTATAGAGCAGGTCTGTCCTATAGGTGCTGCTCACAGAATCGATACTTGTGATCCAATAACTCAGAACTGTACACCTCAAACACACAGACAGAGTAGTAAAAAAAAAAAAGGGGGGGGGTGGAGATAGAATCGGAATAAAGTCTATAGTCTAGTGAATAGTATTGTCCCAATACCAATTTTCTGATTTCTATCTTGCACTCTAACTATATAACACGCTACCATCAGGGTGCGCTGGGTGAAGAGTACATAGGACCTTTGCAATTCCCCGTGAGTCTATAATGGTTTCAACATAGAAAGTGAAAAGGAAAGAAAAGAAAGCATGTATGTAGCAGTGGTGGTACACACCATCAAGTTGCTTCCAACTCCCAGAACCCTTACAGGGCTTCTGAGGCTATAAATATTTATGGGAACAGAAAGTCTCACCTTTCTCCCACAGAGCAACTGGTAGATTTGAACTACTGACCTTGTGGTTAGAACCCAGCTTGTAATCCACTATGCTACCAGGGATCCTTATATATGTAGTTGTTGTTGTTGTTAAGTGCCATCAAGTCAATTGCAACATATAGCGACCCGTTTAGGGTTTCCAAGGAGGAGCTGGTGAGCTTGAACCGCCGACCTTGCAGTTCAAATGGCTTTGCAGTCTGGCACATTAACCCCCAGCACCACACCAGGACTCCTATATATGTGTTGTTGTTGTTGTTATGTGCCGTGGAGTCGGTTCCAACTCATAGCGACCCTGTACAGGGTTTCCGAGGCTGTAAATCTTGACGGGAGCAGAAAGCCTCATCTTTCTCCCACAGAACAGCTGGTAGTTTTGAACTGCTGACCCTGAGGATAGCAGCCCTATTCATAACCAATACGCTACCAGAGCTCCTTCCTATATATGTAGTAGTTGATTAATAAAAGGCAGCTGCTCCTAACCCTTCTTCTGTGTGACTACTAATTCAGCGTCTCCTGACTCCCCACACACACCAAGAATCTCTATCTCTTGTGTGGTGTAGAGAAAAGAAGACTGACAAATGTACCCACAATCAGGGTTAGAGGTCAAATGTACTCACCTCATCCTCCTGGTATAAGGGTATATGGTTTTTTAAAAGGCTCTGTCTGGTAAGGTAGTGGTTACAAGTCAGGCTGCTAACCTCAAAATTAGCAGTTCAAAACTATCAGCTGTTCCATGAGAAAAAGATGAGGTTTTCTGTTCCTGTAAAGATTTACAGCATCAGAAACCCTCTACAAGGTTGCTGTGAGTCGGAACTCCACGGTTCATAACCACCACCACCATAGTCCTTAAATCTAAGACCTCCATTGTTAATGGTAGAACTTCACAAACCAGGGGGACAAATAGTACCTTATCGTAGAAAGAGTCCTAGACTTGGATTTTGAGGAGCTGAGCTTGTCTTATGACCCTGCCACAAACTAGCTATGTTAACTCTCTGGGCTGTGCTCTGGCAATCTATGATGGCATTATTATTAAGTGCTGTCGAGTTGATTCCCACTCATGTTATTGTTGTTGTGAAGTGCCGTCAAGTCGGTTCTGACCCATAGCGACCCTCTATAGGGTTTCCAAGGAGCAGCTGGTGAGCTTGAACCGTCAACTTGCAGTTCAAATGGCTTTTCATTCTGGCGCATTAACCCACAGCGCCATTCCCACTCATAGCGACCCTTTATAGGGTTTCCAAAGGACAGAAATGGTCTTCCCTGCCTATCTCATCTGAGACATCCCGAAGGAAGTGCTCTGGAAATAGTGAGCACACTTTACAAATGTTAGGGATTTTTTCTAGGGACAGGAAGCTGTAATCTCACCCTCCCTGTGTACCTATCAGCCAGGACCAGTGTCAGAGCAGAGCGGAGTCCTTGGGGCTGGACACCCAAACCCCTAAGACAGAAGCATTTATTCTTTTATTCCACCCTCACTTTGCTTTGCTTTTCCCAAGAAGCAGCATTTTAACCCTAACTACTTCATTTAGTCCATCCATGCCCATCCTTCATCTCCTCCTGGCATTTGTTCTGGGGACCACAGCTTCTGGTCTCAGAAATGACTCGAAGGCTGCAGGCACCAGGTTGATGTTGCTCACTGCACCTGGGATGGAGTCCCAGGCACCTGACAGATAGAGGAAGCAGCTGCCTCCCACTCCCCAAACATGCTGCTTCTCGTGCTTTCTAGTGCCCAAGCAAACCCCCCAGTGCCAACCACAGTGCAAAGAAGGGGCTCTGAGGGAGGGGTACAGTTTCCTCACCCTATTCCTTCCCCAGGACAGAGTGGACAGCACCCACATTAGGAGCATCAATGACTTGTCGCTGCAGCTCAAGATCCGGGACCCTGACCAGATCAAGACCATCTACCAGCATCGAAACCAGCTTAACAACAGGCCAGTCACGGTTAGGGAAGGCAGTGGGGCTGGGGACCACCTCAGATCCAACCTTACATTCTCCTTCCCCTCCAGGTGGAACAGTTTCCATGTTAAGCTGCTTCAGTATCAGCAGCAACTTGAAGGGGCCCTGGAGATACACACATTATCCTGTGAGCTAGATGATGTCACCAGGAGGATTATGGAAAAGGTAAGCAGTGAAGTGGGGCCTGATGTTTGCTTCAAGCAAAATCACATCAGGCCGAAGAGCACCCACGGTCTCCTAGCCTCTCATCCCTCAAAGGAAAGGATGTGTATCCACCAGGGGCATCTAATGGGCCACTCTTGGGATCAACTCTGCACCATAGAAGCCCCCTGCATTGCAGCCCTGTATATAGATCGGTGCCCCCGGCTCCTTTCTCCCCACATCCACTATGGATCCAGAATACAAGTTTTAGTTTTCTCCTGTCCCTGAGCAAACTAGAGATTTCCCCAGAGAAGCACAGGCAAAACCTGGCTAAGGCGATGGTGAGGAAGTTGTCTGAAGTCTGAGAAGGCCTGAGTGAGCAGAAGATACTCCTGTTCTTGAACACGTGAAGAGCTCTTGTCTTGGTCTCATTCTTCCTTCAGTGCCTGCGGCCATGCTCTCTCCCTTTATTTTTGAGTTCCCCCAGGGGATGAGAATAAAATGGGACCTTGTATGAGAAAGCACCACAGGAATGTGGGGTTATTACCTCCATGAAAACCCCAAACCCCATGCTCTAATGGGAATCTTCATCCTTCATATGGGGAGGGGCACATGGCCAGGTTGTAGGAAGACTCGGAGCATGCTGGATGCTGGCTATCCACATGGAGACCCTGTGACCAGCCTGGATATTTTCATTATACAGACAATAAACCCTGCCTGAAGCCATGACCAGGCCCTCTGCTCAGGGAAGTACAAGACCAAGCCTATAATACATCCATTCCTCCCCAGAGCACCCTGGCCGGGGACCTGGACTTTGGGAAAGATCTGGAGAGTGTGGGGAGGCTGCTGCGTAAACACAAGCAGTTGGAGCAGGAGATGGGCCTCCTCCAAGCCCAGGTGGAGGTATGCAGCTGGGGCAGGAGGTGGTACCAGGTCCAGGATGCCTGCTCTGTGGAGCTTGGACAGGGATGGGAACGGCCAGGCCCACCCACTTGTACACCCCCTGTCAGAAGCCTCCTGCAGCCAGGACACTCCTCCCCCAGCCTCTGACCTTCCCCACAGACCATGGAGCACAAGGTGGCCCTGCTCTGTCAGAGGAACCCTGAGGCAGCCCAGAGCCTCAGCCTAAAGCATCAAGAGATGATGGACAGCTGGTGGCAGCTCCAAAGCAGGGCCCAGAATAGGTATGACCCCTTTGGGATCCTTCCCTCACTACTACCCCCCCACAACCACCCTCTCCAGCGAATCAGTCCCCAGGTGCCTCCTTGCCCACCCCCACCCCCCCGTGGCTTCCCCTGAATGTCTTTCTCCTCCTCTCAATGGCCTGGATGGTCATCCTGCCTGACCCCCTGCCCAGTGACAGGCCATCTGTATGTGACTGTGGGTAAGGGACAGGAAGAGGCCCTGGTGGCACAGGGTAGAGAGGGAGGAGGCCCTGACTGACACACCTGTGGACAGGAAGGAATTGCTGGATGCCTCCCACCGAGCTCAGACACTCCAGACAAAGCTGCAGGAATCGCTGCTGTGGGCCCGGGCGCTGCGGGCTGAGATGGACATCGGGAGCCCTCCCAGCAGCATTGCAGAAGCCCAGCGTATGTTAGAGGAGCACCAGGAGCGAAAGGTGAGCTGACCCTCGGCCCTTCTGTTCCTGTGAACTTGCCTCTACTCTGTACTGCCCCCACCACCACACCTGATCTGCTCCCAGTCTTGTCTCCATCTCCCACCCCTGCCTTTCTTCTATCCCATTCCACTCCCACAGCTGCCTTTGCCACCTCTCCTCCTTCCCAGAGGGCTTCCAGCAATGCTGGAAGCTTTAAGTTCTGGTGATGTTACAGGCTGAGCTGGACTCCTGGACACACAGCATCAGCCTGGCCCGAAGCACTGGGCAGCAGCTGCTTACAGCTGGGCACCCATACACCCCCAACATTGGCCAGGCTCTGGCTGACTTAGAACAGGAGCTGAGCAACCTGGAGGGGGCCTGGCAGGAGCACCAGCTACAGCTACAGCAGGCGCTAGAGCTGCAGGTAGGCACAGTCCAGACCCCTCGCCTCCCACCACCCACAGGGGCCTGTGTGAAGGAAGCCCACCGCTCCTGGGGAAAGGTAAAGCCAGAGAGACTGCTGTGCCAGGGGGTTCCCACCCCCACCCACCACTTGCCAGGCCCCAGGCCCCTGGACCATCAAAAGGGCCCCTCTGATGACTCTCCCTTGCCTTCTCCTTTCTCGACAGCGGTTTCTGAACTCTGTGGAGAAAATGGAACGGTGGTTCTGCAGCAAGGAAGCTTTCCTAGCCAGTGTGGACCTGGGGGTAGGTGCCCCGCAGGAGTGGGGAAGGGTCTTCATGAGCCGTGTAGGGATCAAACCATCCAACCCAAAGCTCATCCATCCCTTCCCTGGCCTCTCCTTCCTCAACTGCATTCCACGTGAGGGCCTCTTGAGTGCAAGATGCTGGCTGAGCAAGTACCATGGGGGCTTAGAGAGTGAGCATGTGACCCTCGACCCATTCTTGTCTTCTTCCCACTGTCCCTCACCTCTGCTTTCCTCACTCCCATACACCCGGAGGGCTGCTTTCCCCACACCTGACCCATGGGAGACCTCAAAGCCTAATATGGAAGGAGTTCTGGTGATACAACAGTTAAGACTGCTAAACTAAACAGAAGGTTGGCAGTTTGAAACCACCAAGTGACTCTACAGAACACAGACCTGGTGATACGCTCCCATAAACACTGGAGGTGGTGGCAGTGTCATCCAGTCGACTCTGACTCATAGTGACCCTGTACAGGGTTTCTGAGGCTGTAAATCTTTACAGGAGCAGAAAGCCTCATCTTTCTCCTGTGGAACAGCTGGTAGATTTGAACTGCTGAGCTATGGTGTGTAGCCCAGCTCATAACCACCACGCTACTAAAGGTTCTTCTGTAAAGACTGTTGTTGTGAAGTGCCGTCATTTGGTTCCTACCCATAGCGACCCTGTATAGGATTTCCGAGGAGCAGCTGGTGAGCTTGAACTTTGCAGTCAAGCGCATTAACCCGCAGCGCCACACCAGGACTCCCTGTAAAGATTACAGCCTAGAAAGTCCCACAGGACATTTCTACTCCATCACATGGGGTCACTGAGAGTTAGAATCAACTTGATGGCACCCAACACCAACAAAAACAAACTGCCCATACTGGCATCGTTTTACTGAGAGTGCAGAATAGGGGGTGGTCATGTGTCATGTGAAAATCACCCCCTGCCCTGGAAATTCTGATGCTTGACCCCTGTCCCCAATGCCACCCCTGATGAAGAATCACTCTTCTAAAGCCAGACGCAGGCTTGAGAACCACCTCTAGAATTTGAGGGATGTGTTTTGGCAGGCAGAGCAATTGCCCTGTGAATAAGCACTTGGGAGAATGGCTGTTAAGTGGAAAAGCAGATAGCTTAGGACTGGGGTGAGGAGCAGCCCCATGGTCAGTATCAGGCTTTCCTACTCATGCCAGGACCCTTTGGCCAATGTGGAGACCCTCCTGTGGAAGTTCAAGGTGCTCGAGCGGGGCCTGGAGGCTCAGGTGGAAAATATGAGCTCACTGGAGGCCGCAGCCCACACTCTGCACCGAGGTGGACACCCCGAGGCCCAGCGCGCTCTGGACAGGTGCCAGGCTGTGCTCCTGAGGTACCTCTTGGTTCTGGGGGTGTGGGAGCCATGGGTGGGCTGGCATAGGCCTGGGGCATCCCAGATTTCCCCTTCTTGTTCTACCTCTTGGATCCAAGCTCACCAGCCTTTTCCTGGAATAGGTCAGCCATTATGGACTTCAAACAACACATGGAAACTTTAAATTCGCTCTAAATTCAACTGAGATAGAATGGGGCTTTCCAAAGGAAATGTTTACTAGGATACAAAAAGAAAACTGTCTCAGGGAATGGGCAGTTGGTGCTGAATTCTACTGCCTAACATCTCTGACATCTGCAGTGAGGGGATAGGAGGACTGGCTTCATGGGACCCTTGAAGCTCTTAGTGTGGTGCCTGGCACGCCTGGGCAAGTTGTAGATTTCTTGTCCTAATTTAATAAGTTTTGCCACAGATGCATTTGACTGTTACAATTTATGAGACACCAAGCTCCACCTTTTGTTTTGCATCTTGTTTGACCTGAAAGTTCTGCTGCTTCCCCAACTGTGTTTGTATCATGGCTGGATTCCGCCAGCCCTTTTCCAGAGCCTCCTGGTTCTTCTCCCTCAGTTACACCTGGGCACAAGGAGTTCAGGCTCTGGTGACTTTGAACCACCACCTTACGGTTCAAATGGACCTCGTGGTGCAGTACTTGTTATTGTTAAGTGTCATTGAGTCGGTTCCGACCCATAGCGACCCTGTATAGGGTTTTCAAGGAACAGCTGATGTGCTTGACCTGCCAACCTTGCGGTTCAAATGACTTTGCAGCCCAGCGCATTAACCCACAGCGCCACACTGGTTAAATGCTGGACCCAGAGACAGTCCACAGCACCTACAGTGTTTCTTCTTTCAATACCTGTGCTCCCGTCTAGCAGTTGCAGGGACTGTCCTCTCCCCAACCCTTGCAGGTGGGACATCTCCCCCACCGCACCCGGCCCCTGGCTTACCCATGCAGGTCTTTAAGCTCACAAGTGGCAAATGTTATTTTACTTGTCTCTGTCAACACAATCTGTCCTCCTGGTTAACTTAAGTGGTTGGTTCTTGGCAGACCAACTGTCCCTCAGTGCAGTGTCCCCCCACTCTGGGACTTCTGCCTTCCTTCAAACCCCTCTACATCTATCCATCCCCCACATTCTTTGGTGGGCCCTGTAGGAAGAGACAAAAGTCCATACACATGCCAATGTGGGTGAGGAGAGATGCCCCACCATCGGAGGCATAGGTTTAAGAGGATGGAGAGTGGGAAGAAAATACTGAAACTTCTCTTCCTATCTATTGTTTAGCTCTTAACTCTGGTAGCGTAGTGGTTACAAATCGGGCTGTGAATCTCAAGGTCAGCAGTTCGAAACTACCAGCTGTTCCACGGGAGAAAGATGAGGCTTTCTGCCCCCAGTAAAGATTTATAGCCTTGGAAACCCTATACAGGGTTGCTATTAGTCGGAACCGACTCCACGGCACACAACAACAACAACAATATTTGTGCATATGACAATGCTTTAAACATATTGGAACAGAGTTATATAAATATAACTATAAATATAATGCTGGAGAAAGATAAGACTTTCTGCTCCCATAAAGATTTACAGCCTTGGAAACCCTATACAGGGTCACTGTGAGTCAGAACCAACTCGGCTGCACATAATGGCAACAACATAAATATAATACAAAATGCAAAATTTGCCTGCTCAAAAACTTTTTGCTAATAGTGCATTTAGGCACAAATACAGAGAGGGTGGGGAACGCAGTGGCTCTGTAGGATGAATATTGGGCTGTGAACCACAAGGTCAGTGGTGTGAGTCCACCAGCTGCTCCAATGGAGAAAGATGAGGGTATCTGCTCCCGTAAAGATTTACAGTCTCAGAAACCTTATACAGTGTGGATATGAGTTAGAACTGATTCCATGGCACTTACTAACAATAAAGAAGGGGAGTAGAAATGTCTCTATTTTAGTGAAAATCCCAGACTTTTAGGTCATATTGATAGCTGAGAGAGGCTGCTATTGGGTAGATAGGGTGCCCACACTTATTGGACCCAGCTACTGATGAACAGACAGACGTAGGACTCATGGGCCCCTCCTTCTGGCAGGAAAGAGGCACTCCTGGAGCGAGTCGGAGCCTGCCACCACCAGCTGAAGGAGCTCCGGCAGCTGCAGACATTTCTGCAAAATTCCTACCAGGTTTCCCTTGTTTTCGGGTGGGAATTGTTGTGAGGCAAGGGAAGCAGTTACCCCAGGAGAGACCATCCTTCCTGTGGGGAAGGGGAGAAGGGGAGGGTCCCAGGCAGCAGAGGCTGGATTTCTCCTTGTGCCCAGGTGGCTGTGTGGCTGACGGAGAAGAACCAAGTGGTTCTGGAAGAGAGCTGGCAGGACCCGGCCACGTTACAGACACAGTTGTGGAAGCAGCAGAACCTCCAGGCCGAGCTGGACTCCATGATGCACCAAGAGCAGAGGCTGCAAGTGGTGAGGCCCATGAGGGGCCACGGAACAGTGCGAGTGTGGGCGCCCCCACAGCACCCTGTGACCAGAGTTTATTAAGTACTTGTGAGCAGGCACTGTGCTAAGATCTGAAATGCTATGAGAAGCACCACTTCCCCTGGGTGCACTCGCCAAAAATTAAGCATTTTCAGTAATTTCTTGGGAATAGGGAGCAATATTTCTTTTTTTAAAAACACAGAATAAAATTTACCATTTTAATCATTTTAGGGTGTACAAGCATTAATCATACTCATAAAATCAGGCAACCACCCCAATTTTTTCATCACCCCAAACAGAAACTCAGTAACATTAACTCCCTGTCCCTTACCCTATCCCTGCCTATTCTAGATGTTGTTGTTGTTAAGTGCCGTTGAGTCGGTTCCGACTCATACCGACCCTGTACAGGGTTTCCAAGGCTGTAAATCTTTATGGGAGCAGAAAGCCTCATCTTTCTCCCCAACAGCTGGTAGTTTCGAACTGCTGACCTTACGGTTCGCAGCCCGATTCGTAACCACTATGCTACCAGAGCTGCTTAGTTTATATAAATAGGATGGTACCACGTTTGTCCTTTTGTGTCTGGTTTATTTCATTAATGTAATGTTTCTAGGTTAGTTTGTGTCCTTACACATATCAGAATTTCATTCCTTTTTAATAGTTGGATAATATTCCAACGTATAACGATGCCACACTTAAATTGACTCATTAATCTGAACACTTGGGTCATTTCCACCTTTTGGCTATTGTGAATAATGTCAACAATTTTAAATATAATATTCTGAAATTTTATTAAACCTATCTTGAAAAGACCTGAGTTAGAGGGGATAGTAATAGCAGACCAGCAAGCCTATAGGTAAAGGGGTTCAAGGGTAACTCCCTTTTAAATATTCCACTTCCATCTACAAAGGTCAGGCCCTGCTAGATATTGTATATGTTTTATCTCATTTAAACAAAATAATCCATTATGATTCCTATTATATATAGGGAAAATAAGGTTCCAAGAAATTAAGGCTGAAACTAGCACACAGACTCTGAGACCATGGGTTTGGTGGTCTGATCAGGCCTGAGTCCAGCATGTTATGATTGTAGGAGGGGCAGAGGCTGCTGCAGGAGGACCTCTGGGCCTCGGAGACCATCCAGGTGCAACTTCAGGAGCTGAGCAAACTCTCGGATGAGCTGCAGGCCAACTTCAGGAGGAAGGTGGCCAAGCTCCAGGAGGCCTGCAAGGTGGGCTGTGCAAGCTACAGAGCGGCCTAGCAAGGCGCCAGACCACTGCCCCATATTCACCTCAGGCTCTGCTCTAGGCCCTGCAGCTCCGGAGGATCATGGGAGAACTGGAAAGCTGGCTGGAGCCTGTGGAGGCTGAGCTTCAAGCCCCTGTTGGCGGAGAGGACCTTCCTGGAGTGGGCGAGCTCCTGCGAGCACTGGGAGACCTGGAGGCAGCAGTGGATGAGCAGGCTCGACAGGCACGGACCCTGCTGGCCCAGGCCCAGTCCTTCATCGGGGAAGGGCTTTGCCTTAATGTGGAAGAGCAGGCCTGGCTGCTACTTCAGAGGTAGATCTGCCCATGCCCTGCCCCTAAGTGCCTCCTCCTCACCCTCTTTCTCCCTGCCTTCCTAAAAGGAGCCCACCCCTATCCCCAGCTCATCCCCTCCCAGGGTTTCTCCTCTGCCCAATACAAGTATCACAGAGTAGGTGAGCTCTGTGTCACCAGCTAACCAGAATACCCACCATGGTCCCCACCTCGCTGGGCCCCCATCCTTCTCTTCTGGTGCAGGTTTGAGAGTCTGAGGGAGCCCCTGCAGGAGCGCAGGGCAACCCTGGAGGCCCGAAGCCTCCTCTACCAGTTCTTGAGGGACGTCAACGAGGAGATGGCCTGGGTACAGGAGAAGCTACCCCTGGCCACAGCCCAGGACTATGGTCAGAGCCTAAGCGCAGTGCAGCACCTACAGAAAAAGCACCAGGTGCCGACCCATCCCAGGTGTGGGAGGGAAGGGTGTGAGGCTTCAGCCAAGAAGATGAGCTTGTGGCCCAAGCAGGAGTTCTTGGCCTCAGTAGCCTTTGGAGGTATCCAAGATTTTTTGTTGGTTGTGGGAACAGAGGACTCCTTGGGGGCAAGTGTATAGGGTCCCATGAGAGAGAATTCAGGCGTAACTTCAGGAGGGGCTCTTAGAATGTCCGATAGTATGCCCAGCCCTGTCTTCCTGCTCCACAGAACTTTGAGCATGAGATGCGCACCCACGAGACCCTGGTCAAGGTGGTGGTAGACACAGGGCACAAGCTGGTGCATGCTGGGCACTTTGCCACCTACGAGGTGGCTGTCTGGGTGCAGCAGCTGGAGAGTGCCATGGGCTGCCTGCGGGCAGAGGTGGAGCGGAGAAGGCTGCGGCTGAGGCAGGCTGAGGAGGCCCAGCAGCATCTGACAGAGGTAAGAGGGCAAGGAAAGTGGAGGGCCGGTGTGCTGAGTTCAAAGGAAACCCCCCACTTGGGGCTCCTGCTTTTGATGCATTTTCTGTCACCTCCACTAAATAGTCCCCGCCCCTGAGGGCTCCCTTCTGCATGTTTCCAAAGATGGTGTCACTGGGTTATTTTGTTTTTCCACCGAGGCGCCTTGGGTTGCAACATAAGGTCAGTGGTCCCATCGCCACTATGAAAAAGAAAGATTCGATTGTTCGTTCCCGTAAAGATTTACAATCTTGAAACCCTGTGGAGCAGCCCTACTCCATCCTGTAAGGGCACTATAGGTCAGAATCGACCCAACCAGTGGTTCTCAGCCAGT